CACCAAATGCATATTTGTTGGATATCCATCAGGTACAAAGGCATGGAAGTGCTGGAACCCTGTAACTAAGAAGTTCATCATATCAAGCCATGTCATTTTTGATAAGCAGGTGTTTCCAGAAAATACAAAAACTCTTATCAACCCTTTCAGTGACCTATTTTCTTCACTCTCAAATCTGTCAGATTCTCCTATGCTGCCTGATCAAGGGGGAGACCTTAACAACAATGATTTTCCACCTCCAGAAAATTCTCCAGCACCAAATCCCTTACCTCCTTTAAGTCCATCACCTCTAGTATCACTCCTTCCCTATGATGTTATAACTCCTCCTGGCTCATCATTCAATGGATCTCTCTCAGACCTAACTCCATCACCATCACTACCACCTCCAACAGACCTAGGCAAACATGAATACAGAATACATGATAATAGCTTATATGATCCCAGCCCTGGTTATAGTCATGGAATGTGCTGAAATATTAACAATGATGATCATGTGAGAGATACAGAGGATCAAGCACACACAGCCTTTATGGAAGACAAAACTATTCTTGAAGGCATAGCTTTCTCCAGCCAGACAATAGAGCATTTGACAATGGAGGAAGGACTGGAAGTTGCATTTGAAAGCATGACAGAAGCAGCTTACAAGGCATCTACACATGATGATGAACCTAAATCCTTCTGTGAAGCTATGAAACATTCTCCAGAGGAAGCTGCAAGTTGGTATGAAGCTGCTATGCAAGAGATACAGGCACTTGTTGAAAATGGTGTCTTTGAATTGGTGAAATGCCCTCCAAATCAAAAGGCAGTTGGGAGTTGCTGGATATTCAAAGTGAAATGCAATGCTGATGGATCAATTGAGTGCTATAAAGCAAGGCTTGTTGCAAAGGGATACTCACAATGACCTGGCTTTGATTACACTGAAACCTTCTCTCCAATGCCAAAATGGGCTGCTCTACAAGCTGTCCTGGCACTTGGTGCCCTTGAGGATTTAGAGCTATGGAGTGTCGATATCTCATCAGCATTTCTCAATGGTGAGCTGACAGAAGAGGTGTATATGGAGCAGCCAGAAGGTTTTGAGGAGAAAGGAAAAGAATGGGTCTGGCACCTCTTCAAGTCTCTATATGGACTAAAGCAAGCTGGAAGAGAATGGCACAAAAAGCTACATGCAACATTGATCAATGCCATGGGTTTTGAATGGGTAAAATGCAAACATAGTGTCTGGATTTACAAGAGGGACAGTGAACATATCATCATTCCAGTCTTTGTTGATGATATGACCATTGCCACAAAGACACCAGATGGCATTGCAAAGGTCATCAATGATCTCAAGAAGCACTTCAAGCTTCAAGACTTGGGTCCAATGTCTTACCTCCTTGGTGTCGAGATCAAGCATGACCGAGCCAACCAAACACACACTCTCTCCCAGTGCCAATACATCTTAGACATTCTGCAATGTGCAGGAATGGCCGACTGCAACCCTGTTCTGACACCTTTGGATCCAAACATAAAACTTACAGCAGATCAGTCTCCCAAAACACCAGAGGAATATGAGACAATGCAGACAATCCCATATCTGAACATGCTCAGCTCTGTGGCCTACCTCTCTATTGCTACCAGGCCCGATGTTGCCTATCCTGTGAGCATACTCTCACGATTCAGCAAAAACCCTGGCACAGCCCACTGGGAAGCTCTCAAACAGCTTTTACACTATCTGAAGGGCACAGTTGACTATCGCATTGTCTACTCTCCCAACTCTGAGTCAGATTCACCAGTCTTTGACTTCAAGACTTATTGTGATGCAGATCATGGGGGTGACAAAGATAGTGGGTGTTCCACAAGCGGCTTCATTGTCAAAATGGGTACTGGAGCCATTAGCTGGATGAGTCATCTTCAGGCATTTGTGACACTCTCAACAACAGAGGCAGAATACATTTCGGCTGTATCTGCCAGTCAGGAAATCCTCTGGCTTCACAACTTGTTCACAGAGTTTGGCTATACTACATTCACCAATGCCTCAGTCCTCTATATCGACAACGAGTCTGCTCTGTCGGTTGCTCGAAACCCTGAACATCATGGCCGGGTTAAACACCTTGACCTTCGATTCTACTGGCTGCGCGATGAAGTTGAGAAGGGGCACATCCATGTGGTCCACTTATGAACCAACAATATGCCAGCCGATGCCTTGACAAAGGGATTGGGAAGAAAGAAGCTCAGGCACATGATTACCTTACTCGGACTTGTCTCAATACCTCCGTAGACATGTTCGGTCGAAGGGGAGTGTTAAAGTAGCACGCCCTCCATGTCGCTCTTATCTTACATAATCGTAGCTACCAATACTGGAGATCGAAAGTCAACGCTTACCAGCTTTTGACCTTCGACTCCAGACCTGGCTTTCCCCGCTGCGCTACGCAACCTGCTCTCAACAATATGATGCGTGTTTCTTCGACCGCGAACTCGGTAACTGCGCCCTAATTCGAACAAGCTCGCGATATCTTTCAGCATGAACACGATGCACACACTCGACGATGGTATCAACCGGTCCAACGAGTCGACGAGCTTGCTGCCTGCTCTTTGAAGGGTTGTACTTTATACCGACGAAAGGAGGTCCTTTTTGGGAGCAGGCCCAGAATTTCAACAACCGTAGCAGGAAACGGAAGTTCAGATCTCCATCATGTGGACCGGACTTGAAGTGATCCGGCTACGCGTCTACGGGGCACATTGAAGACTTTATCGCAGTTTTGTCGGATGCTCACTCCATGTTCCGAAGGGATGGTGTATAACGGTGAGAATCTTCCCTTCATGTTCGTTCTCGGTCCTAAATACAAGCAGGGTCTCAGCGCGATTCCTCGACGATGACAAGACCAATCGCTCTGTATCAGCAGATGAAGTTCTAGGCACATCACATACTCCCTCGAACGCAGTACTGGGATATATGTCAAGAGCAGACTGAAGGCATGGTGACCGATGCCGGTCAACCGACCAGAAATAAGAGATCAGGAAGTTGAAGCAGTAATGGGTATGGCGGTTTCGTTTTTGCGGTAGTGTTTGTTTTTCATATTTGGATAATTGGCAGGACAGACGAATTGTTCCCTACTTCATTAACCGGTTTGTTGGCGAGGATCATGGCCGGAAACTTTTGCGAAAGCCTGTTATGATGCATACGAGTCGCTCGAGGGTCACTGACTTGATCGTGTCGATGATGCTACCGGTGAGTATTTCTCGTTTATCTACAACTGCCTCTGATCCAAAACTGCGGCTAGGTTGTATGATTCCACCTGGTTTCCAAACTGACCACGGAGTTACTAATCGAAATCTTCAAAGCATAAAACGCACGTTCTGCAAAGTTTCATCATCGACTACATTTTTCGTCATCACCTTGCTCCCTTCGTCCTCGCACCAATCCCTTCCCTCTTTTTGTTAACTACCAGTAGATCCGCCAACGCTGGAAGTGGGCTCTTTGGTACGGGAATCGCAGGACGCTGTTCAATCCACGGCCGTTCATCGGGTGGATTGGGCTCAGGGGTAGACATCCGAAGGTTGGATGTAGGTGGTTGGCCGGTGGTTACGACAACCATTGATCTACAGTAATTGGGTGGTATCGTGGTGGGTCGCAGAGCGACGGCCTGGGTCGATTTCCCATGCTTGGACGAACGAGGCAATGTGTGGACGAACGCGAATGGCCCGTACCCATCCCGAAAGACGCCCATATCAACGTTATCTGCATTGAGATGCTAGATCTAGGAGTGGAGCACGCGTGGCAAGACTTCCTCTGTTTGGGGCAGAAAGGAGGCAGGAAGGAGGATCTGCGCGCGGAAGAATGGAAGCTGGACGTGCCTATAATCGAGGAGATGTATTCTTGATCGAGCTGGGGATGCCTTTGGGTGTCAGAGCAGGTGACCCGGAGAGTGAATGGTGTTGGTTTCGACGAGCGTAGATGTTGCAGGAGGGTAGTTGGAATAACATCATTGCTGGGGATATACCGCAGTAATTAAGACGAGGAGATCCAGATGAGATTTCGCGGGCAGATAAAGTCAGTGGAAAACATGCCGTCTGGCGGCTTTGATTTTTTGGTTCGCTGGCGGAGATGCAGGGACGGGAAGGAGAACATTGAAAATCAGGGCCACACACTAGTACCTGATACCCGAGGACACATACGCGCTGCTTAGGAGCCACCCATCGTTCTGGTTCCTGGAAGGTACCTTAGGGCGATCATGGGTCGTCGGTCGAACATTGGCAGAGTAAAGGTTCGAGAAAGTGTCAGTTATCCAAATGGCTGATGTCGATGAAGTGAAAAGCTTGCAGAACCTGGCTATCCCCTCAGTCTCTCGGACCATCCTCGTTTGACCTATTCGCAAATTTAACTGTTAGTTTCTCCTCGCGGCGCGACAATGAGATGACTCTTTTGATTGGATTGTTTGATACTGATTTCGAAACGACCCCGCGTCCACAAGACAAAATTCGGAGGCAAAAGTTTAGCCGCCGGCTTCTTGCTCCTGTCGCTCAGGAGCCCGCCGGCAACATCAAGAGGAGACTCTGCTCTTGCTTGACCTCATTTTCCTTGAGCGGGTATAAGCTCTTCGTAAAGATCTTCCATAAAGATCACTGCCAAGACAACCACAAGGTAAAATTTCAATCAGTGTGGATTATATTACGTTTTCATGCATATGTAGTCCCAAGACTTCATATTTTTTCGGCTTTTGAACGACCGTCGACTGCCGACTCGGACCCAATCGCCAATGGGGTGTTTTCATGGAACCTCCTGACCAGAAGTCTAGGAGGGATATTTTTTTTTTGCTAAGAACATCGCCCCCAAATGTGCGCCATAATTGATCGTCCTACAAGCTCTTCACTCTTGCACGGTAATACCTAGAAAAACTAGAGTCTTTAACTTTGAAGGTGACAGGTCTTCCCCGGCGACTTACTAGGACTGACGAGACAACATTTCATAGCACGAAAAAAAGCCACCGCTTATCTGGCACACGAAGTCGAAGCTCCACGGCACCCTCAATGTGATCACGTTCAATTGTAAGTCGAAATGTAACATTGCTTCTTTGTTTCAGTGATCCGGCCATTCAATGATAGCGGGTATTGTTCGAAGTGGCATCTACCAAATTGGCAAAAAGCTTCGAACAGAGCCAACGAGTATGCTTTGAACGAGGAAACCTATATAATGGGTGGGTTCGGTTGGACTGTATCCCCACCTCCCACATTGTGGACCGCTCTTTTGAACGCGAAACGCGATGTTGTCTACGGGGATTGACCTAGCCGCTGCCCTAATGTGAGCAAATTTGACTTAATCTGTGATGGCATTTTCATGAACGGCGTGCTATTGTAGGTCAGTCCAGCAGATATCTCCTAGCGACTGGGGATACGTGTCGAAAGTGTAAGCTAGGTGCATTGTGATTTCTCTGTAGTACTTGACGCGTCTTCCAGGTGCTTGCAGGCACTTCTACAGTCGGGAAGTCCCAATGGGTTCCCTTCGAGCTCTTCCCAGGAACAGGCTTCGGCTGATGAGGCTTCGGATTTTGGCCTGAGCTTATCCACGTATCCATTAGAGGAAACTGTGATATCCAGTATTCCATCGACGTCTTCAGCATCAGATGCGGCAAGCATCCGTTCCTCGTTCACTGCGTCTCTTGCCGATGCTTCTGCCACCGACTGCCGTCCTTCTTTTGATCCTGCAAACATGATGCGACCCTCTGTCTCTCTTTTATTGTCGTCTATCGTGTCAAAAGATCCAGACTCTCCACCCGCCGACTCTGTTCCCACTCCAGCGAGCCCAACTGCTTCTACGGCCGCTACAGACATTTCCTCTGACAACACTGTCCAGAGTCCGGCACCCTCTACCCCTCCACAGGTACATGTGGATATACTGTCGCGTTCGACCTCAGATTTCTCGGTTCCAACTGTGTCAACACAGAGCTATTATCGGGAGCATACCTATATCTCGCCTCCTCCAGCAGAGCCTCTTATGTACGTCTGGACTATCTGTATATGCATTTTACTTGTTCTAATCATGTTTTACACCCGTCAGCAATCAATGCTCTCAAGTATCTCAGTCCACCAACGTGCTAGCTCAGCCCCCTTTTAGGTCTTCGTCCAGTAATGAAATGGTGACCAGCATCCGTCAGCCTCCCAAGCAAACGTTCGTACCTTCTGTTCATAGTATGTCCCATTGTACCTGACTTTTCCTCCAGTTTAAGATATATACCCTATGCCGTCGCGGACCGTCCTCCCAGTTTGGCTACCAAAATACTGACCAGCTCGAGCTTGTATGTGGCTTCCTTTATCAATAATATTTTCCGTCCTTACAATATCTACAGTTCCTTCGCCGATCAGACATTCTCTCCCAAGCCCTACGTCCCATCGAAATGTCCAGCAACCTCAACAAGCAACTCCGAAAGACAGAAGTACGTCTCTCCCCGCTGTCCATCCAAATTCCTCGTCTTGATTTCCCCAGCCACTCAAAAGTCTGTTGTCGGAAAAGCAAATACGAACAGCTAGTCGTCAAGTACGGCATCAGCGACCACGACCTCTACTACGGCTGGAAAATCGATTACGTGACCTGCCACCTAACCGGATGCAACCAAGCACTCATCAAGAACACCCGCGCCGAAGTCACCAAACACGTTAAAACGTTCCACCTCTGCGCCGAGGGTCCCCAGTTCGTAGTGCGGGATTGCTGCCCGATCGTTTCCGACTCCGAGCGCTTCATCAAAGTCGACGCGGTCTACGGGCATTTCCAGACGGAAAGGCATTCGTCTATGCATAACTCGTATCAATACTCGTGTGGTCATTGTGGGGCGATGACGGCAAAGCCTGAGTATCTTGATAACCACTATTTGGAGTGTAGGGCTTTGCGAGACCGTGTTCTGTCGCTCAGATCTGCGTCGCAACAGGTGGCTTTCTATCCGAATATCTTCTGATCTCTTGCGCTCCTTCATCTCAATCGTTCCCTCACCATATCTCATTGTGCATTTCATTTTACATGTTAATATCTGTATCCCTATCATCACCCTCACATCTTATACCTTGGACCATCTTCGTCATCCTTAGCATTACCATCCCCATCTTATACCTTGCATTCTCAGTTCTACCGTATCATAGGAATCATAGATCTAATCCATCTCGGCGGCTTTCAATTTCAACACCACGTGCTGGGCGACGCGGGGAACTCAAGCTTAGGATCGAAATGAAGCCCGCGCTCTTGATGACCGAAATGACCGTGTGAATGATGATACCCTCTGACGCACTTCAAGTTCCAGATTAAGAGAACTTCGGACCAACATTGAACATTTGTGATAGAACTGATGGTTATGCGTATTTCGGCAAGGAATGCTTTAAGCAATTTGCACCACACTTACATTAAAACGTCAATCGTGATACTTTCATAATACTCATATTTCTGTTCTGGTTCTGCACGCCATTTCACATATGGCCTCTCACAGGCTTAGGTATGTATCTGAAGCCAGGAGTATCAATCAGCCATCAACTCGCAGTTCAGGGTGAGATGACGTATGGCTCTTCAAAGTAGCTCATCTCTTCTTCAGTCAGAGTGAATCCCGTAATGATATTCTCATTCAACCTCCGAACCGACGATGTTCCAACAATCAGGCTTGTGGCATCCACGCCAGAGCTACCTGAGCCATGGTTTTCCATGTCTCTTTGCGATTTCCTCAGCACGACCGATAATCGTCTTGTCGTCCTCCGACAATTTGTTTTCAAGACCTGTTGCCTTGGAGGCATTGGATCATTGCAGGTCGCGTCGGAGCGCCCGCTGAGATGGGTGTCCAATGCTGTTGAATGTAGAGTACGCGTGCATCTCACGTTCCTGATAAAGGTCAAGTCAGGTTAAAACGGAGAACAGACGTATAAATTTAACCTCTTAGCGATATAAAAAGGAAATATTCATCCTGCATATTATTTACAAACTTTGTCCAGCCGTTACGTGCAGTGACTTCGTTGAGCACCTCATGGAACTAGCGCCGATATCTACACAGCGAGGAGTGTCAATCAATATGACCCATTCATTAATTGTGGCCGATCCAAACATGATTACATACGTCCCATAGCCGAATGAAAGCGTGTGTGCAAGTTCTACAAAAATGAATTCAAGTACAGTCTCCCATGAGACCGAGAGACCGTGTAGAGCATGGCGCTGCATGCGTAATTTTGTGACTTTTCTAGCAGAGGAAGGAGAGAATCCATCATGGATTATCCCAACACGGGTGATCTTTGGGCGCTCAAGGCCTTCCGAAGATGAGCTTCGGAACGCCGCCTGCAGAGGCGCTTCTATCCACTTCGATACCAATCAACTGAACTTTGTGTCCAAGCCAATCTATCCTTCTCACACCGCCTTCCCAGCCACCGCCCATCCTCAGGCATCGCCTCTCATAAGCTCTGGTGACGCTGCGCTGCGCAGGAGAACCATTGCCTAACGCGTCCCACTCCCCATGGGTCACCCGGATAGACAACGTTCTATATAGCGTCTGAAGTAAATCGAGGTTTGAGATTGGCTGCGCCTCACTGGACATCGTGGGAGCGCTACCGATGTAAAATTTTCCCACCTTTGACGAGGGAGAGACAACGACGGGCCAGGGGAATTTATCGCACGTCATCAGCAGCTTCCTAAAAATCGGTGGATCGGTGGCGGGTTGTGCCAGAGTATGAGCGGGGACTGCCGTCCGCGTGTTGCGATCCACAACAGAATGTGAGCAAGGCGCGAACATCACGTCATAAGATATCGGAGCATTATGGAAGCGGCTCGAGGCAAGGAGCGGATGCATGTGAAGAGATATCGTACACATCGGATTCAGGAAAGAGACATGAGGCTGGGGGTCTGTCGCAATACAATTAGTCAAGCAAACAATAATTTGTAAGCATAACATACGGTGGGCCTCAGGCTTGAATCCTGCGTCCCATGTGTGATTATGTTTAAGCACCGGACGCCGTGGAGGCGGGTTGACACTGGTGGAACTGGACGCCCGCGAAGGAATAGGGCGACCGTGACCATGAGAAGACGCTGCTTGGATGGAGGTTGTCGAGGTTGTACGAGACTCGCTACTAGCACGAGCTGGAGGTGGTGTGTAAACGGGATATTGTATATCTACATGTGCGAAGCGGTTAGTTCTGCTACCCGATGCGAGACGAGAAAAGCAGCCTACAGGGGTCATATTTGTAGCTCGAGCTTCGATGGAATGTAGTCTGAGGAGGTAGGTGCTGCTGTTGCTGCGAATATGAGCGCGGAGGCATTGTTACAGGCGCATCCGTGCTATATCGCAAAGGAGAGGGCCTAGTCGTCTTTGATGATTCGTAACTGTTGTTGTGCTTCATAGCCCCGCCTGCGAATGGTGGAATGCTGGGAGGAGAGACAAAGATATAGCTTGTGGGGTCGGATTGAGAGCGATGATGGGTTTTCGACTGTCGAGAAGACGGGGAAGATTTCTGGTTCGACTGACCAACACCGAATAGACCGCGAAGAATATATGCCATGTTCGCTGGTGAAAAGAATTCGAGGCTCAGAAGGATTAATGGATGTGTGCTTAAATGATGGCGTCCTGTCCTTATATATGAATTACTGCTACTAGCGCAGGTAGACCGCCGGTTCGATATCCGAACCCCAGAATTGAAGGCGCATGGCAATGAAGTAACTAAAAACGCCTTCCCAACTCTTCGAAGGGATCGAAGGTCGAGCCACGACGCGTAGATGGCAGGGAGCGTGGTAGATTGGGAAAACGGAGGGACGCCAATATTGGCAACAGTAAGGATATGTGTCCGTAATCTCCGGCCAGCCAAACGAGGATACCCGTAAATGAATGACTTAGGGTAAGTAGAGAACTTGATTGGCTTTTTAGAAGGTATCTGTTAGGTACACCGCGATGCGTCTGATTCGAACAAGCAGCGCATTGCCCACACGTGTGTTTGGACATTGAGGATCGGCCAGGTAATCGCAGCCTCGAGGATAAGTCGCAGCAGTATTTTTGCCCTGTGATAAGTTACTGAAAGGCGGGACGATAGTCAATTTTTGTTGCATACATACGTAGGGCAGAAATCACACCTTCTCTGTATAGCTAACGCTGTTAGCGCTGATAGTAAATTGTCTCCCTGAGGCAAATCTTTCGTCATGTAAGGGGTCTGAGGTAGATATTCAGAAACGGAAAACGTATTAGCCAAAGCGGATCACTACGATGGACAGGGACTTGAAGAACGAGACATTGCGCAGAGAAGCCTCTCGATTAACGACCCTAAGTGATCCTCATTAGTCTGGAATCCGACCAGCAACCATTAACTTCCGAATAAAATGACTTGCAGGATTTTCTAGAAATGACAGGTTGCCTTCCATAGACGAGCCTGTAGCAGCAGACCACAACGTTGCACCTGCAAAGTAAATTGGAGAACAAGCAGGTCATTGATGCATGTAATTCTGAAATTGGGAAAATGACTTCGGATGACACCCAAGATAAGATCTAGAACATACATATCTAGAAGTACAGCAAGTGTGTCCGGCACACATCGCTAAGTACAGTGTTTCACCTCAGTGAAACACTCCGTGCAATCGATATTACTGATCCCGCAGCGACTCAATGCCAGAAGACGCGGCCGCAATAATCTATTATACGGTCGTGGCCAACATTAACAATCAGTACTATTTGTGAAAGTCGTATTGGTCATCCACTGCGAACGGACACTGCGCCTCGAGGTTGAAGACGCCGCAAACCACCAAAGGGTGGTAACGCCAACCGGGAATGTATACGTAGCCTGACCGATGTTATCTGAGTAACCAGTTCGCCAAGTAAAATCAGACCTACCTACCTGCATCCCTCTAAACTCTATAGAGGCCGTAACCGCAACGGGGTTCCAAGAAGACGAAGCGCTGTCATCCCCTAGGTTCGAACGTTGCATTAATAAGGTCAGGGGATCCTCGATCACCCGAAAGACACGTACAGTTCAACACGACCAGCGAATATCGAACCCAATCGCTTGCAGACTGCCTGCCGGTTGCATATGCGCCAACACGCAAAGCCCAGCCGTCACTACCGCTGACAGTGACGCCGATTCTCTGGCCAAATGGACCACCCACATCTTTCGGTATGATTGCCTTCGAGGCCTGAGCCATGGAATAGTACTCTTGGTTGAAAGAATAAGAGCCGTCGTTATTGATAGTGACGACGCCCCGACAGCCAGCTGAGCAGCTGTTAGCACCCGGAAGCTTCGGGTTTCCGCTACCATCAAGGGCGAAATTCCACATTAGGCCCTAGGAGAACGTTGAAGTCTTCTTTGTTTAAAGAATTGAATAAGTCTCACAGTCTTGGACCAATGTTCTAAACTTCCTATCCAGCTAGGTGGCCACATGAGCGAAAGGCACATATACGTCAACGAAGAACTCACAGATTATCCATGTACCACTGTTAGGTCTACGTCAGAACGCGAACATAACAGATGGGATATTTGGTTATCTCCTACCTTAATATCCTGCCACCAATCACTGCCGAGCGTTCCAGAGCATTCCGTGAAGTAGATTTCCTAAATAAAACCATCAGAAAGTCATCCGGGGAGATAGACTGAAAAAGGTTTACCTTATCTGGGTATGCAGAGTGGAAGGATTCCTGAAGGCCAACGCTTCCTTCGTAACAATGAAACGACGCCCCCGCAAAGGAGTCTCGAGCTGCTTGCATCTATGCTTGTCTGTCAGGACCGGCGCATCTTGCAACATTAAGCCCTGTACGTACAACCTCCACGGGGTATGTCGCAGCGTTGTTCCAGTTGTGCTATAAGACGGATTGTGAGTAACATGTAATACCAGCGGAGCAAACCCTGACCTCGTATGCAATAACCTTGACACTCGAGAAACCGTTGTTATCAAGAAGAGTCCGTAAGGTTCTCCCAATCTGAGCTTCCGTTGCGGCAGGCATCGAGCATGATGGATAACTATTAGTGCTGTATTGCGGTTCATTCTAGGGTTTCTGTCAGTTGACATGGTCAGGGTCAGATAAGGACAAAATGAACTTGAATTGAGATTGCGTAAATCGGTACGCCTTTACCTGAGAAACCTTGGACGGCCTTCAACAGATATGTGGGATCTATTGCAATGGAAGGTCAAGGACCGTGCATCACTGTGGTCGAAACGACGTACAGACGCTGATGTAGCCATCAATCAGTGAGCCTCCGTTCATCGATCCTGTCGTCTTCATCCATGCGGGCTTTTCATTTATGCATAAGAGGGCGCATTATGATGGGGAGACATATGCACACTGACAGGCGACCAAGGAACCAGATGAACCTTTGCAAAAGTGCATACGTAAGCGCCGAGTCATCAACAATAATGACCTTCAAGCTTACCATTAAGCGACTATTCACTGATAGTATATCGCGCAGAATAGCGAATAAATACCATGGGGCATTGTTTACATAGAAGTTGCTCAAAATGTTATCGCTGTTTGAGTCGTCGTAACTGTAGACTGGAGAAACGGTCAGAGTGCAATCACAAGGTCTCGCAGATATGGCGGACCCGAAGCAGAAAAATCGGTTGCGCCAAGTGCAACTCGGATATAACTGAGACCAGCGGCATTAGCGCCATCGGTCATGTCGAACGACTGACGCAGAAGATTCCAGTAGTTATTCGAATTTTTCCCCTAAAAATAGTCAACGCGTATCCAACGTCAGACGAAGAAATGAACCTTTAAGTCATTCAGAAGATTAGCTGAAGCATCCGCTGAGTTAGACGTCAGACCAGAATGAATTCAGATAGAGAGGGAACCACAAACTAAGGGTCGCGCCAAACCCAAGAATTGTCTGGTAAACAGTGCTGTCCGAGACGGTGATATGTGCACTCTGAGAAGCACCTGTGGCTGCGAAGTTGACGGCGGCTGAGAGTGGTTTCCGCGTAAGCAGACTACGACGATCCCAGGTTGTCTCCCACTACAGACAACAACATGAACAAGATAAGTGAGGACTACATTCTGGATATACGCACGATGTCCCATATCTGCTGGGTAAAGGCGCATCGTGCAAACGCGAGGGCGAATATTGGAAAAATAAGCATAGGAGGAAGGTAGAAGTCTGAGCTGGCCCATGGAGAACCTAAGCTTATATACCGTATTGACGGTGGCTACCAGCTGTCATAGAAGGAAGAAGCTGCCCTCAAGAACTCGTCAGTAACCAGGTTTCCTATGCGATAGACCGGTTACTCCATAGACGTAGAAGTCGTAGAACTGGCTGCAGCACATGTACATTAATCATTGAGGGTCGGTTGGAGGAAATCGACAACGAAATTTGAATGAATTAGCCTGTAGAGCAAGTCAGATCAGCCTTAAACTCCTGAACGTGATCTGACCTACGTCCGGTCCAATACGCGTCCTTCGTGTTTCCCTTGACTTGGGACGTGATGCTGATGTATTTCGGGCGGTGACCATTAGGATCATGTCGGTATACTTGCAGCCAATTGACTAGGGCGACGTGTGAGCCGAAGAACAGGATCCAAGAGAGAACGCACCGTATGCGGACAAAAGAAAACGATTATTGTGCTATATACGCGACTTATCGGCTTTCTTCATCACATGTGCGAGATGGCCCAATCACGCCCACAGACTGTAGCATCGATTCAACTGCAGTGGAGAACAGCTCTTGTGGGTCAGCAAAACGACTGCAGGCATGTCAGTCCGAGGACATATCATAAGGAAGGACGTTTCAGCAGGCCCTCCAATTGCCAAGCAACACCTTTCAAAGTCATGTTCACATCTATAGGATGAATCATGAGTAGATAGATCCCTAGATGAGTTCAATGATACAAAACTGAAAAAGCCGTGACTGAAAAATCAAGTGAAACGAAAAAGACGGTTGCGTGGCAGATAAGCGTGTATCAAGAAGGCATATAGCACGATAAGGTATACATTTTCACGTTCATTGTAAGAATAATTACTATACTGTGCAAAGCGTCAAAACGTACTCATGAAATAGGAATCAAGACGCGCACCTCGATCAACTTTCTGACACTGCCCAGCAACATAATTATAAAATCCAGAAGCGCACGTCTCTACGTATAAATGTAGAGGAGAGAGAAATTGCGAGTGGTACCGTGGTCGTCGTAAGAAAAATAAATGTTTGTTGTGCCATGTTTATCAACAAGGCTGACGGGAATCGGTCTGCTTCAGGATCGTCAAACTCTAACCCTCAGTTCTGAACGTTCAATGACCAGATTTGAAGTCAACCTGAATGCTCTCGTCTACAGAAAGAAGGATTTCAGCACAAGTATTGGTCCTTTAAAATGGAAGCGCATGTATGGGGAACAGATTGACATACATACATACCTTAGCATGTACTTGCTGTTGAGGTGATCAAACTGCCTGGTACTAGCAACTTGAATTTTCATTAGGTTGGTCATGCCAGTAACAGTCCTTTTTTTTTTTTTCATCTGAACAGAAAATTCATCAGATCCATAAAATGTGAAGATCCCTCAGAGCTAGCTCACCAGTCAGAAAGAGGTTTTTGTCTCCCACACTGTCTCAGCATTACTTAGTTTTAACATTGATGAGAAAAAACTGGCCCTACCTTCAAAATTAGAGTGTATACAGAATGCCTTCATGTGATACAACTAGCACATGAGTTGATTTTCCTTCAATTAAAACAGTGGTCAAAGGAATTCTGAAGTCTCATTTTGAGTAATGAGTCAATGACATGCCTGCCATCAGTGATAATCTGAGCTAAGGGGCTGCCATGGACAACCACCACAAAGAATAATAGCTTACAGTATATATATACTGCTGAAAATTGTTCTCAGACCATTTGTCATCATCATATGAACCTCAAACAGAATCAGCAGCAGAGGTTGTTGGAATCTGTGAGAGAATTCAAGCAATCTGGCATTCCAGCATGCTGAGTGAGGAAAGAATCTGAGGTAAATTGAAGGAATCAGATAGAAAGTACTAGAAAAGATGTAGTCTAGTGTAAATATGAGAAGTCAATGGGGAAACTCATCAGGAGTTTGTAACCCAAAGACTAAAGGTCTTGCAAGCATGTACTTTGGATACAGTCCAGATCTCAACAGAGGTGCAGCTATCTGCCAGCACAAGTAATTTTGATTTTAGTAATGCTGCAGTGATCTTCACATTTTTTGTCTTTTGCTGCTACTAATGACTTCTGGTATCCTGAACTGGAAAATATGGCTGGAAGTTGCTCATGTTGTGCCAGTTCTTGATGCTGCTAACCAAGCACCAGATATCATACAAGATGCCACAATGGCAGCAGGGCTTGGTGATGATATAGAAGCAAATGCCAATGATGACATGGAAGGAGCTCTGGAAGGTAGGTTGTTGTTTCCTCAATGCTGTCTTTCTCTCATATGTACCACCATTTCAGCCATTGGCATGAGGGGTCCCTTCCACACTGTCCTCCAAAATGTGCATATTTTCAGGTTATTTAGTGTCATAAGCATTATTTACCAGTCCCTCAGGCTACCCTACATACTGAAGAACTCTACTTGTATCAAAGCAACTCTGCAGGGATAATTTTTGGAATTGAGGTGCTGGTGGTTCAGAGGGAGACATATTGGACTCAGAGGAGAGGTATATTTCATCATATAGAGTAAGGACAGTGGTGGTTCCGAGTCAAGTCAATAGGTACGAAAATGTCAAAGTCTAAGGTAAGCAGTGAAACATATATAAATAGGATATGATATTAAAGCCGTGAAAACCGAATCTCAACACTAATACCATCAAAAGAAACTCTGATTCTTGCCCCTCTACAGTGAGCTAGAGGATCTAGCTTTGCATAGTCTGGCTACGCTGTGTTAGACTTGGCAATTTTTGTGGGTGCTTTGCGGTAAACCGGAGAAAATAGAACTATCTCGTCTTGATAACAATTCCGTAAAGTCACTGGGTTCATCTTGCTAGTTCCGGGGAAAGGTGGCGATAGTCGCTGATGTGATGTGAGTAGCAAGCGCATGTACATTGCCTCGTACCGGCCTTGGATTTCAGAGAGCTTGGAATCTCCGGCGTGCCGGGCACTTTAGACCGCACCCAGCCACTGAACCCACTTCCCCTTGCCAAAACGTTGTATCCCTTGACATCACGATGCACTCTCGACTAGAAATGGGTTTTGATCCGTTTGATGCAGACTCGTTCTGCGGTTTCGATAGCTTGTGAGTAACCGATTTGCCCCCTGGATTGCCGGTCTGATGTTGTCTAGCTTTACCGCTCAGATGTGGGGTTTCCTTGTGCCCCCATTCGACTCCAGCCAATAAATGCACAAAGAAAGTCTTGGAAGCACAGAATTAATCATTCAGGATGTCTTCTGCGATGCCAGGGCCTCATCTCCCGTAAACCTAGAAATACCCTTTGACGAACTTATTGATCTCGACATCGATTCATCTGGTCCCGGTGCTGTTATCTATAAGGTGATGAAGGACGGCTCATCAGCTCATTTTGTGGCGCAGGGATGTCTTCTTGGTCTCGGGACATCATCAAGGATCGCGCGCACCATTGGATGTTCGGTTCCGATAGCCCTTCTCTGAAGGATCGATAACCATAAGGCTGATTATCATGCACATGTGAAGCCACTAGAAAGGTTAGGGAATTCATTTATCACTGGCGATGGTATTGCTATTTTGAACTCGAAGCTTAGCGCATCCATCTTGAAGCCGGAATGCTCAAGTAGCTGCTGTCCATTTTGAATTTGTAACCTCTAGAGAATCAAGGTTTTTAATCTCTTTATTCAACCTACATTCACTCTCTCCAGAGTCCGTGACGACCAATGGAAAGACTCTGGTAATCAGGGTCTGAGTTCAGACGCCACACGGCTGATATCTTTATGTTCCGCAGGAAGCAGGTGGCACTCTTTTTTAACGAGCAATTCCATTTTAAGCTCCGGGACAGGTGGTATGTAAGTTTGAGTTCGGACCCGCGATCGCATTCAGTTTCTCCAGACATAAGACAGGAAGAATGGTTTTTTCACCCTCGGAACGAACGAACTCTTCATGTCCTGGCTTGTATCTGCGAGCATTTGCCTTTCATTGACTTTTCTTCGTAAGTGTTCTCACCCTATATATCCGGGAAATTTGATCCAACTACGCATGCGATGTAGCCTTCTACGTCCTGAAGAGATTCATTTGCTCTTTTGTCAATCGCGAGCATTCGAAGGATTGGAAAGATGTATGCCAAGTAGCCGTCTTCCGTTTCGCCGGAGATTGCTTCACTTTCGGACGTATGAAATGCAAGTCGACGCAGGAGAATTACATGCAGTGGACGAGGTTAACGGCAATGCCCTATACTGTCGATGCAGTGCCTGGTATAGACGATACTAAGATCTTATGGATTGGCCCAAAGCGCCTGAAAAATGTTCTATTCTATTGCCATGGTGAGTGTCCCTTCACATGCTATTATCGATTATAGCCACTCACACTGTACAAGGCGGCGGCTACATGATAAGCGCCCTTCATGCACAAATGACCTTCTACCGCTACCTCCAACTTGAACTTGAAAGGCGCGGTGTTCATGTGGGCGTAGCAATGATAACATACAGTAAGCTTCCCATCCACGATTGGTCCCGTGTCTTGCTTTAACAACGAGACGCAGAATTGCTGCCGGAGCATCAGTTCCCTACTCAATTACGCCAAGCTAGAGGTGCCCTCGACTTTCTCATACAGGCGGGCGTGCATCCTCGCAACATTATGCTTGTCGGAGAATCGGCCGGAGCTAATCTTGTCATGCAAACACTGTCCCATATTCTCCACCATCTTCCGTCGGTACAGCCCCTTCAACTTCCCACCAGCCAGATTTTCCGAGGCGCGTTGCTCATATCTCCCTGGGTGTCAATGAAGGCCGACTCTATTTCACCATGGCCGCTGCTGCACGCCAAGTTCAAATACGACATCCTTTCCTCTCGTATTGTACGCCTCATATGCACTGAGGTGGTGAGAGATATTCCAGAAATCGATATCAAGTTCGTAGATCCTGTTGAGGCACCCAAAACTTGGTTCGACGGTTTAGATAATCTGGTTGAGAGGATTCTCATAACTTACGGCGCATTCGAAGGGTTTGCCCCGGGTATCCAACTTCTATATGAGAAGTATCTAAAGCCGTATCACGAGGACGTGATAACTTTACAGCAGAGGGATGGCGTTCATGGTGACCCGATCTTGAAGTTCATTTGGAAACAAGAGGACCTGGGAGATATGGTACCGGTGATCGTAGACTGGGTCGCGGAATTATTTATGAACTAACAACACGCAAGGGCAATGGCGTTATATCGTCTGTAGGATCATATCTGTACTTTTTAGTTTTATCGAAGCGGTAGTCCATACTGTATGTTGTACCATGTGAAATGTGGAAGATCCCAACAGGTCCATTCCATGATGGCTCGGTTGCATCAGCTTGTACCCCAGAAAAAAGAGAGGGTAAAAAAAAGCTTCATCTCTGATCGTCAGATCTCGGTTCCCAGCTCCGGTTCAAAGTGGACAACCCAGGAATAGCCATAAAACTCAACGGCTAAGCCTTCTTCCTCGAGTTCCGCAAGCGTCTTCAGCATTTCCGATGGTCTCGAAGAAGATGGCGCACAAAGCGTCAAGGACCTCATCCGAGCTCCATCACCACGATCCCGTAACAAGCCCCATCTCGACCGGACCATTCTCAAAAAAGCCTCCCGATAAAAAGAAACTTTGAACGACCGCTCAAGGACCCTCTGTGAGCCCAGGGAGCAACTGTCGACCCGTAGTGTTAAATCATTAACGTGCGGAGCAAGACACGTTACGCCATCAAATAGAAGAGTGTCATATACGTCTGTGGCTCCAACCACGTCAACTTGGAGGAATGCCATAGTCGATGTAGTCGCACAGATCTCCAGGATTGATGACAGGGACGAATGTTGGAGTGGCGAAATCTCAAGTAGGAGGGATCCAGCGGACAGTGGCTCTGGGATGAAAGTTTCGATATCCAAGTCCAGCTCAGTTGGCGTCATGGCATTTACCTTCGTCCCTTCAGTCCTGAGATGCCGCAACGCTAGAAGACGTATATACCTCAGCCATGGCACGTCAGTGTACAGAGACAGTCAGCAGAGTCGGGCATGTCACATTAGTCCGTCGGCTGGAACTTGATGAAAGACTAACGGACGTCTCACCCAAAGCTCTGCTTCTACAGCCTCTGGAAGATCCTTGAAGAGCGAGGTATATTCATCCACAAGATAAAGACCTCCAGAAAACCTCCTCAACTGCAAACGGATAGGAGATATTCCGATTGCGTCGAGACGGACATCGTTCAAAAGTGGCATAGAGGGGAACTGCCTTCCAACCAGGAAGGCAAAAGGACATCTCAAGCATACGCAACCGACTATAATGGGAAGCAAGGCACCAAAGGATGACGGTGACATCATCGGAAGAGCTGACGCTGCAAGATAATTGGGTTTGCTTTGACCGCTCGAGATACGTTTGAAGTAGCTCCGTGGGGAAAGGACCGTATCGTCGATGTATATATATACTCGTCCAGAGTGTGGACATTGACAGAGCAACATTGCGCCATGTACATCAAGCATGGCTTACAACCCATGGGCATCCAGGTCATCAACAGAGAGCCCGGTTGCTGCAAAGTTAAAAGATCTCGGCCAGTATCTCATCAGGGAGAGTCCATATTGGAGCCACCACACATTTCTAGTGCTCTAACTGACCCTCCTTCTGCTCTCGCACTCGACGGAGATTGGAGAGCAATGAACGCAAGCGACGAATGTGTTGATTGAGAACGGCGATATCTTCCTCCATGTCGAGAATATTAATATGAACGCATTGTCGTCCCGTGGAAGATAGCGAGACACGATGGAGGTCGATACTTGAGGCTCTCAGTCGGTGCGGTTGGTCTGGGGTTCGAAAATGCCGCAGGTTAGACATGCTAACAACATAGGAAGAAACAGTTAACTGTAAAGCATCCAGTAAATAGCCAGACATGAGCAGAATAAAAGGCTTTCCTTACCGTTAAGCTGGAATTTGACCCAAAAGAGAACGGACCGGCCCGGAAACTGCCAAAACGACCCCCCCGCATACTGAAACAGAAAGCAAATGTCATACTTATTGCCATCCAGTTTGATATAGTGTAAAACCGATAATCATTCTCTTCTCGGTCTCGTTCCCTTCGCCGAGCCGGGCGAAATCGCGTAACCCAGGAATATCCATGACCAAACCTTCCTGCTGCAGTTCTGCAAGCCTCTCCAAGGTTTCTGTCGGCCTCGATGCATCCTGAATCGAACACGATCCCGCGGCAGGCCACACCTCTTCTGAACCAAGGAATCTCCATGGAAAGAAGCACGAAAACGACCAGTCAACACCTCCCCCATCCACCTCAAAGAAGGAAGTACCATCTTGGGAGTGCTAAATCATCGATATTCGGAGCAAGGTACGTTACGCTACCAAAAGCCAAAGCATCCCATACGCGTCTGGGTCCAGCCACGTCAACTCGAAGAGACAGTGTTGTCACATGTTCCTAATATCGACGGATAAGGATGAATAGGGAGAGGCGGGATCTCAAGCAGGAGAGTTTCCAGCGGACACTGTGACTCTCGGAGAAAAACATCAACATCCGAGCCCACGTCATAAAAGATGACCTGAACTTTATCCTTCTTCCCTTCAATCCTTCAATGTTGCAATCTCGGAAGACGGATAAACTTCAAGCCCGTCATGTTCGCGTACAACCACAGTCGAGAGAGTCGAGTATGCCATAACAGTCCACAGGCTGGAACTGGAGGGGAAAAAATAGGCTCTGTCGGACACCACATCCAAAGCTCAAGCTCGACAAGCTCCAAAAGCATCTTTGAAGAGCAAGATATAGTCTTCAATGTGAAAAATTTCTCCCGCAAACCTCGTCAGTTGCCTCAGTGTCAGGCCGATATGATCCCTTCGAGATAGACGTCACCCAAGACGTTTGCATAAAGAAATGCTTTGATAGGACAAGCAAGAGCCTGACCGATGACGTCTATAACTACCTCCGGATCCAGGTCTTAAGATAACCCCTACTGTGTTCTCGCCCTGAACCGATAGACGGTGTACAGTCAGCTTAGGAAGGTTTGCCACCAACCCGGAAAGAACCTTCAATCCGGGAAGGCAGAGGTTCAACTCTAGAGAATGCAATCGAAAGTGGTAGGAAGCAAGGCATTCGAGGATGTCATCGATATTGTTAGGAGAATGATGCTGACAGATAATGGAATCTCCTTTGAACGAGCGAGATACGTTTGGAGCAGCTGCGTGGCGAAAGGATCGTGTCGACCTCTCGTCGTATCATCGATGTATACCCGCGACCAAGTTGCCGCCGTCGATAGAGCAACGTTTCGCCAAAGACGGCACACATGGTTCAGAACCCACGGCATGCCATGACGGGTGTCCAGACCATCACTATTGTCATCGTCTGCTGCGAGAGTGATGATTTCGGCGATTATCTCCGCAGGCAGAGACCATATTGGCGACATGGCTGAACCTTCGATGTTCCAGCTGAGATTCCTTCCTCTTCCGTTCTCGATGGAGGTTGGCAAGACATGCACGCAAACAGCAGATTTGCTGATCAAGGGACCGTAATGTCTTTCTCCAAATCGATGAATGTCCGTTTGATGATCAGCAGACGACGGTGCCACAGGTTGATTGGGCATGATGTTAAGGGTCGCATGATCACTCTTCTGATTGGAGAGGTCGAGAAAGCCGCATGTTGGGCAGGCAGATAGCATTGCTTTGAACCAAATGATTAACTGTAATATGAGACATTGAAAAATTTGCGAACTATTGACATAACCAGAACCCTACCAGACAGCCGAAAGTTCAGATTGCAGATGTTGAGGACGTCGAGTCACTGGCACTGAGGTATAAGGATAAGAAACAAAGGAAGAATTTTTGTTTTCCTCTTTTATTCTTGCCATCGGCACTCTCCGGATAGCCACAATTCCGCCGAGTCTCAAGGCGCGGCACTGAAGGTAGAAGCAAACCATTCTACGATCCTCTTCTCGCCCGGATCCTTCTTCCAAGCAAAATCCAGGATGGGCTCAATATGTAGCCGATTCTCCTGCTCCAGAAACTCGATGTTCTCATGCACCGGGAGGAGATACTTCTCGTGCAGCTTCTTGATCCCTTGCAAAATACATTCCAACTCGCCACACGAGATCAAGACCCTCCCCACGAGCCCATCCAATCCCGCGAACCAATTCTCAGGTCCTTCGAGGGGATCCAAAAACGCGATCTCGGAATCGGGAACATCTTTGACGATGGTTTCGCACGCAGGGCGACCTATCTTCGCAGAGATGACATCATATTTGTACCGAACTCTCATTGCACCCAGGTCGCATTGTGAGTCGCTCTTCATTGACACCCAAGGGGATATGAGACATAGCCCACGGAACCGCGCATTGTGTGGGAGGCCGAAAGGCGGTTCGACGGAGGGGTGACGATGAAGAATGTGCGATAGCAATGACAGCGTGAGATTGCCTCCAGCGGAATCCCCGGACATAACGATATTCTCGGGGAGTACACCGGCTGCTAGAAGGAACTGTAGGGCTTCTCGGGCTTCCCGGAGTGGAATAGGAAACGGATTCTCCGGCAACAGCTCTGCATATGAACGCCGTCAGAAATGATCCAGAATCCTCTCAGACGAACGGATCTTACTATAAGCCAAAATCACTACCCCAACAAAGATGCCGCGCTTCTCGAGCTCTAATTGCAAGTGTCTACAAAAAGCCATATGGGTACCGGTACAGCCAACTTGGTACGCCCCGCCTAAAATCCAACGTCAGCGCCACTTCGACGCGGCAACAAGTGAACAAGATGCACACCGTGGCAGTAGAACAAAACCTTATCCAAACGCCTGGGTCCAATCCACAACAAGTTCGCGCCATCAGGAAGTTCATCTACCACTGGAGTCATATTAACTGACTTAATCCATTTCATATACGCGTCGATAGAGGACGGCGTCTTGAAGCCATGGTCGACTAGATATCGAACCGCTGCACCAAAGCATACTCTCTTCCACTCCCGTGAACGTTCAGCATTGAAGAACGAAGCACATAGTCGCTTTAGAACGTAAAGCCCTGTCAGACAATGCATCAGTAAAGATAATTAAACAGTAATAGCTACTCACACAAAAAGACCATCGCAACCGTCTTTGGAATCCTCGTTATCATGGTGGTGACAGAGAAAGGGCTTGGTCCCATTTAATTTTTCAACGTGGGACCTTATCATCGGCACAGCTTAAGGTTCATGATGCCGATGTAATGGTCAGCCCGCTGAGGTGATTGATCGTTCCAGTCCGCTGCTTTGGGCTCAGGCGCCGACGGACGACAAAATCACTCGAAACGGGAGCAGTTGGTGGAGATATAGGATTCGGATACACCCAACGTCGATAGGTCAATCGCAGTAGCAACACGCAGTCGCTCCTGAAAAAATACGTTTTCAGCTTGAGAAGGAGCAATACAAGGATAAACTTACAAAACTGCACTAGTATAATTGATTCCACATCCTCATCAGGAACGACGATTCGCTTTGAACCGCACGGCCACATATCGAAGTGGATGAGAATGAAACAAAATTTTATCGGACCTTGATTCACTAGGCCACGGATACGAACCAAGAGAACATGCCTGTCCACAAGAGATAAATTCTTGACCGATGGGAAAGCGAATGTAGAGCAAGAGTGTGTAAGCTTGATCGAAACAAAACAGCTCAGGCAAGAGAAATAAACAGACGACGGAGATACTTACTAATGGCCCAGATCAAGGCAAATCTGAATCTTGGACCAACAACCGCCCACACTCTCAATGTCCTCGGAGCCGCGATCCTTGAACCTGAAACGTTGCGCAGGTGTAGGTCTAAAAATTGCGTCGTGACGGTCCATGAGCCCGAAATGCCGGATCCTTGATAAACAAGAGTCAGCAAACCGTGCCTGGGAAAAATTAATTGCATACCTCCACGAGCATGCCCACAGCCACTAGCCAAGGTACAATGATTGTCGTAACCACCGGCCAACCACCTACATCCAACCTTCGGATGTCTACCCCTGAGCCCAATCCACCCGATGAACGGCCGTGGATTGAACAGCGTCCTGCGATTCCCGTACCAAAAAGCCCACTTCCAGCGTTAGCGGATCTACTAGTAGTTAACAAAAAGAGGGAAGGGATTGGTGCGAGGACGAAGGGAGCAAGGGGATGACGAAAAATGTAGTCGATGATGAAACTTTGCAGAACGTGCGTTTTATGCTTTGAAGATTTCGATTAGTAACTCCGTGGTCAGTTTGGAAACCAGGTGGAATCATACAACCTAGCCGCAGTTTTGGATCAGAGGCAGTTGTAGATAAACGAGAAATACTCACCGGTAGCATCATCGACACGATCAAGTCAGTGACCCTCGAGCGACTCGTATGCATCATAACAGGCTTTCGCAAAAGTTTCCGGCCATGATCCTCGCCAACAAACCGGTTAATGAAGTAGGGAACAATTCGTCTGTCCTGCCAATTATCCAAATATGAAAAACAAACACTACCGCAAAAACGAAACCGCCATACCCATTACTGCTTCAACTTCCTGATCTCTTATTTCTGGTCGGTTGACCGGCATCGGTCACCATGCCTTCAGTCTGCTCTTGACATATATCCCAGTACTGCGTTCGAGGGAGTATGTGATGTGCCTAGAACTTCATCTGCTGATACAGAACGATTGGTCTTGTCATCATCGAGGAATCGCGCTGAGACCCTGCTTGTATTTAGGACCGAGAACGAACATGAAGGGAAGATTCTCACCGTTATACACCATCCCTTCGGAACATGGAGTGAGCATCCGACAAAACTGCGATAAAGTCTTCAATGTGCCCCGTAGACGCGTAGCCGGATCACTTCAAGTCCGGTCCACATGATGGAGATCTGAACTTCCGTTTCCTGCTACGGTTGTTGAAATTCTGGGCCTGCTCCCAAAAAGGACCTCCTTTCGTCGGTATAAAGTACAACCCTTCAAAGAGCAGGCAGCAAGCTCGTCGACTCGTTGGACCGGTTGATACCATCGTCGAGTGTGTGCATCGTGTTCATGCTGAAAGATATCGCGAGCTTGTTCGAATTAGGGCGCAGTTACCGAGCTCGCGGTCGAAGAAACACGCATCATATTACCTTCGAGACGGCGTCATGATGGCAGCAGTACAAGAATAAAACAAGAAACAAGAAGTACGTGAACCAAAATGGTAATTCCCCTTTAGGATCAGAGCCACGAGACCAGACGATGCAAGCTTCGGTGCTAGCCGTCCTGGTTCTGTCGAGTCCCCCGCCAGTTGATGGCATCCTCATCATGTTTTTCTCTTCCACCAGAACATGAATCGCTGGGTAAAACCGATATATTGTGCACTTTGCTGTTTAGTCGCTTTTTCAGCCTATCTTTACTTCCTCGTCTTCAAGTTCGACCTGTGCGAAGACAGCAACGGGCTATGATTTATCAAAATGGATGGCGGAGTGAAAGAAATAAGTAATCTGGCTGTACGCCGGAGGAAAAAAATATCCCATTAACAAGGATTATAGGCTGCGCATTACAGGCTGGAATGAGAGAAGGCAAATTCTCGAAGCCCTCGGATCTTTGACAGTTTTTTTGTCCATATTTATTTACTCTGTGAGCTACTTGGGATACCTTGTATAGCCGCTGTTCACTGTCCAGTGTTAAAGACTTTTTCCCCCGAAAATTTATTGCGTTACACGACCGTTAAGGGCAGCGTTGGTTCCACCACTTTACTTACCTGTAGATCAGCAGGTACTCCGCCGAAGATATTGATTCGCTACATTTCCATGACTCGGATCTTGGAACCATATCGCGCCACGGATCCCTTTATAAGGTTCATCATTGACAGTTTGAAACGCCCATCTGAGCTACGTATTTGTCGTGGAAAATTTGTAGCTCCTTCGCTTCACCGAAAGATGCAAACCAGCTCAATCAGTTATTTACGCAAATGACAATTTTAAATGAAATACCCGGCTTGTTTCTGGGAATACAGTCCATTCAGATAACTAAGTAGCCTAAGGATACAAAAGAACGTAACACGCTAGGCAATACTGGTGTACATTTCACATAACAAGGCAACAAGTCAAAGAGCAATGCAGAAAAAGCGATAATAACGGTATACAGTAACAGTGTGAGAGCGATAGCGAGGGCATAGCAAATAAATATGGAAAGGGAATACACAGCAAGAAAACATTTTTTTACAAAAAAAAACTGCGGATAATGATTCAGTTCATCAATACGGCCCATAACGATGATAGTATGAGGAGAAGAGTCTTGGATGCATTACGGGGGCTGTGAGGGGGGCGGTTGAGTGGTGATCACGGCGATCGATGTTGATGGGAGGGAGACGGTAGTCTTCGGGGATGACGAGGAAGCATTCCGGAGGGGGAGAGGATGAGGCAGCACGATCCACGGCTGGAGCAGGTGCTTCTGGGATGGGTGCAGGCAGAAGCCTCGGTGCTAGGATCGGCGTCGCAGGCGTAGACATCGCAGAGGTAGGTGTGGCTAGATCAGCAGCAGGTGTAGACGTGGCCGGAGTGCTTGGAGGCGAGGGGGGGGCTTGTTTCTCGGTACGGTGCACCAAGGACTGATACAAAGTGTATTGCGTGTAGGTCAATGGCACATCGCCATAGAAGGCGATGAAATCGGCGGTAGTGTGAATCTCCGGGGTGGGCGAAGACGAAGAAGCAGGGGTGGTAGATACTTTCTTGCTCTTCCGTTTCCTCTTGCGAGGGTTGCGCTTGTGACCGGTCTCATGTCGATGTCGCGTCAGGGTCGCGTCGCTGGGAGCTGCGAACCCACAAGTTCCACAGTGGAGTGTTTCTCCAGTACTAGGTACATAGACGATCAGTCAGTCATAACGCTTTGATGCTGATAATGACAGAGGACACACTGGGCGCTACGAATATGGCTCATGACATTCGACTTCTGCACACTGCTGGTCCCGCACCGGCAAAAGTAAGACCTTGTGGATTGTGGCTTAGTGGCCGTATTCCAGGTTTTGTCACTGAAAGTTACTTACTTCGACAGCCTTTCCGTCTCGGATGCATGTTTGGCTAGCCTATGCCTTTCAAGATCATGTTGTCTACTCAGATCGCCCTCGCACTCGCAGCATTGGTGAGATTGACCATCCTTGTTGAGAGTAGTCAGGTCCGTTGTCCGAAACAAAGCGCTGAGCACTTACAGGCATGGAGGCAATCGTGGTATGGGAGTAAGGAAGGAAAGGTAAATGGGTAGGAGTCAAAGGCGAAGAAGCCTTTATTCAAGAAGGGGGACGGCTGTGGCGGAACTCGAATTTGTCAAGGCCCATGTTCAAAATCGGAATTGGATTTTAAAAAAGAACGAGCATCATCGAGACCGTTAGCACGCAAAAGCCAGTGGTTGACGTGAAGGGGGAACTGAAATAACGTCAAACCATGCACAAGGGCTCTGACGGTTGCAAGGCTATCACAAACCTTGATTAACAGCGCAAGGTACTCGATTTTGAACGAGCTCCGAGACCTTAGAAAAGAGGCGTCGACTCAGAGTAAAGGGTGTCAACGGCTATCACCATCGAGCGCCTCAGATATGTGGTCTATGAAGCCTGAGCATCGCTCGTCCTCCTACCAGGAACATAGCCTGACGAACCAAACTGAGCTACGATTTCTCGGGTGCAATATCCAATCCGCCAATTCGAGCGGACAATGCTAAACTCTAAGAAATGAAACGCTCTCAAATTCGGCTTGTTTGTTCCTCGAGAAAGGATTCACCAGCCTCCTGTTGTACCTTGACCCAGTATGAGCTCAGGTTAACCTCCGCTGGGGGTACATCAAATGATCTTTGGATTCGTCTCCGCTTCCAGAAATACGATGCGATCAAGATCAAGTGGCATCCAGGTTCGTGCTCATGTCATCGATAGGTGTAATTTAAGGCCGAGGCTTCGGCGGTGAAGAAGGCGGCTTCGATTCAGGGAGACGACTGGCAAACGCTGGGTAGGCAGATCACCGAATCTTCAGCAACAAAACCTTCGACTGCAAAGGGCACGAGATGGACAGTGGAAATTATCAGGGGATTTCCGTATATCATGGAGCAGGCAGATCACTACCTTGCTTTGAACGGCCAAACTAAGCCTTAAGGACTGTGACCAGATACGCTATCTTCGACCGCAGTCGATTAAAAAAACCCATTAGGACGTAGCCACACGGGTCCCTGTCATGTGAGAGCGTGTTAACAGCTGTTAACAGCCATAAAGTCAAATCAGTCTGAGAATCAGTGGGAAAAAAATGAGTGCCGTTAGGCGCTGCAGGGCTACGGGCGGCGACCTTCGGGATCATAGCAGGAACAAATAACGCGTTATTTGATGTCCTGTCTGTTGCCAAATTGGATGGCACTGCCACCCCGTTCAATCTTTCGAAGGCTCTCTTTCCAATCGTCAAGATTGCATTGGTTTATTATGCTGAAAAATGCCTTCAAATTTTCGGCCATTTTCTTTCTTAATAACCTGTTACTCTGCCCGAACTGTGTGGTTCTGAAGCACTGATTCGGACTTTTTGCGGGCCGCGCCAAGGTCAGCGACATGGCGGCGCGACTAGCGTTACGCGTTACTTATAAACTTTTAATGCGCATGTGTGTTATTATGCTGTCAAAACATTATCGAAATCAAGTTGATGATGGTTAGGAGTCCAACTCTTCAAACTGGTCCAGGACCCAGAAACAACTGGAACTGCGGCGCCTCTTGAAGGGAAATTCGTAGCCTTGTCATAGCCGGGCCCCCTGATATCCAGACACGTCTGAGCGGACGTTATACCCACAGGCCCAACCTCCTTTCCTACAAAATAATTCAACAGCGAGCTGCACATGATACGACGGTATTTTCTTTGGTTTCCGAAATAATTTTATCATCAGTGGCGTATCAGCTATCTTAGATTGATATTACGCCAGCATTAAGCCAACGAGGAGCAACGAAAGTAAGTGAATGCTCACTTTCTACCAGCGTTTCAATTATATATATTGTCGATAACGCTAAGCACCACCTCGCTTCCAAAAAATTATATTCAGCCAGTATATTCCCGGCCGCAGATATTTGGTGAGGTAACACGTTGGCAACACGCGGTTCTTGTCTTTTCCTTATCAAATGTGTAACCAACGAATTGGTTCAGTTCTGACACGTTGTTCTGGAAATGGTGTGTCAGTCAGAGTTCGATCTGGCGCCGCGGGGTCAATCTGGGTAGCTTGAACAGTTCACAGAAGCTCCCGAGTGTCTGCGCGTCACATCTATGGGCCTCGCCGCGTGAACTCTAACGTTTTCGTATAAAAATTTCCCGTGATCGGTCCGAGTCACCGAAACTCGAATTCCGTCCGACGGGAGTCAAGCTTCAAGAATCTCAGCTCAAGACATGACTTGTCTGTGTCGTTACTGGGATGGCGATATGACAGCATATATGTGCAAGACAACTGCCTTGTTCAGGGAGTGTTAAAGACATTGGACTATTTTCCTTTTTTCCCCATATAATATTATATTTGAACAAGATATTTCACTCGTGTTCGTTTTTAAAGGTGTAGAACAATAGATCACGCCACAGGCAGTGCGATGAAGTGGAAAATGGCTGGTCCGATCCACTGGTATAACATTTCCACTGAGGTTATAATAGCCCGGGAACTCGTTCCATGGTGTGGCCTTGCGGCCTTCTCTCAAGGCGGGCAGGTGTTTGTCAAAGTCCAAATGCGACACAGCCCATGCGTTGAGCCCTGGCCGAACTAGAATTCCGTCACCGCGTCACCCCTTCCCATATTGGGTCCCATGCATCTTTTATTTTCGCGAACGAACGCCCATTTTCTTCACGCTCTATCCCTTTCGTCTTTGGGCTAGAATTTCTCTTTAGCGGCATGAACGTGTGTATTTTCCTTAACGTTCTCTTGGTCGTCACGACGGCAATTTACTTCCACGACTAACCTTCGTTCCCTGGTCAGGGTAAACACTACACTCAGGAAGGTTGCTCTGGCTCGTCCAATCGCACAATTAAACAAGAGGACTATGAGTAGGTACCAATCGCCACGATTTCTTGATCTACGTTGAAGCCTTTCTTTCGATCAGTGCCCAAATTTATCAACGACTAGCCCAACATGACCCAAATTTGCGTCCGGATCTCTTGTGGTCCAGTTGGAGGTAAGCTTTGCTTTATGGCCACTTCATTCATTGGATACATCCCAACACTCCCTGGAAGCCCTCACGAGACCGACCATCGATACAACCGCCCAGCGGACTCTACTGCCTCAAGATCAACGGCCATCGCTCCCCATGGGCACATCTCCCACCAGCACAATCGAAATGAGACCCCCAGCCCTGGCGGTGACCAGCCATGGCGCAAAAAAACTTCCCCGCCCACTGCCGCCTACAGCACCAACCAGGATGGTCAGGGTGTGGGCTACGCCACCATAAACTACAGTGCAACCATGTCGACATCTGGGTCTCTTCCGCGTCCAGCAGTTATGCCACCCCGCCCAAGGATGCTCTTCGCCTCGACAACCACCATTAGCCTCTTCACTCAGTCACAGTCGCCTCAGAGTCGTTTAAACGCACGCCCAAGTGACGAAGCCATGCCTTTTACCTCTGGCCTTCCTCATGTCATCGATGGACCCAGCAACTATCAGTTGAGCCCCATTGACCCTCAGCGGCAATTCCCCCACCATCACGATCCCGAGATTTATAAGGCGTCAACGCCTGCTGGGCCAGTCCGTTCGACTCGCCAAGAGCGCCGCTCCGCACCCTACAGAGACCACGAAGGGCCAATCGCCAGCAGCAGCTCTCACAGTTTCGCCATCGACGCAGCTCGTCCCGGCCATCCAGGATCGCATACATCCCCGCCTACTCAGAGGAGCGCCCATTCCACTACCCTCTCTGGCGTCCTACAGACGCCCATCGAATTCGACGTACGCTTTCATCAGGCCAACTGTCCTTCCTGGAGGATCGGCAGCACTAACTATCCTCACCCCAAGGGGGACGTTGAACCCCTGACCCAAAGGCATCGCAAACCCGCTGGAGGAAAGAAGGGAAAGCGCAAAGCGGGGGAGGGTAGCAGCAGCTGATTCGGGTTCACGCCCACCGACAGCTCCAGGGGTCGCCAGATCCAACGACAATGCCGCTGGTAGTTCCCATGCTTAACGATCCGCAGCCTCTTGCGGCGTTTGGGTCGCTGGCGCAATCTCATGAGACATTGACCAGCGCAAAGGCAACTTTTTTATCGGTATGCTGCGTTCCCAATACTACAGCGGCTCTCATCTTCGTCGCGGACTAAGTATTTCAGCTTTCACTTTTTTTTAGCTTTTCTCACGCTCTGACGCTATAAAATTCTCCTTCTCCCTTGCTTTCCTCGTTGCTGTCCTTGAGCCTGCTTTCCCAGTTCAATTCAATATCGTGCTATCTTTGCGTCTTCGTTTCTACTAAAAACGCTCAGTACCTGATTGTATTCCTATCCCGCAGATTAGTATCGTCGAGTCAAGTCCTGTATGATCTTTCACATTGCATATTTTTTCTACTCTGGATTCTAAAGGAACCGGATTCGTTACGAAATCTTGTGGTTGACGGATAAGATCCTTTCAAAAGATGAGCAGATAAATTAAACCCGACCAACCAATCGTTAGCACCATGAACGTGGATGGTTCTCACCGGCAATTTTTTTAATTGTCAAGTATAGAAATGGAAGAACGGATCCGAAGTACGATAAAGAACGAAATGGCGTTGCGTAATTAGTATTGACTTTGCCATGCTCCAGATAATACTGGATTTCAATTAGGATTCCGGAAATCCGGATGCGACTACCAAGATCCCACTCCAAAATAGGTGGAGAAGCCGTGTCACCATCCGGACAAAGTCTGTGATGAAAAAAGTGCTATGTCGTGTTTCATCCGGACAAAATCAGCCAAATTTCGCACTGGCTCGTGGGCTTCTTTTTTTGTCCGGACGTCAGCGCACAAGTCAAGACGATGCCGTGTCATGGTCATAGTCTGGACTTCATAGATGCGACTTGGTGCCCAAACTCGGTGACAACGCTGGTTAGCCTTCCTCATGGTGACCCAGCAGTTGACCGCAACTTTTCCACCCATTTTAGATCAAAACAGGCGGAGATGCCGTGGCAGTCATCCGAATAAATCCTAGGAGATTTGGAAGCCGGGTGTTATCCGGACAAAACCGATACATTTTTCAGTTTCATGTCCGGAATTTTTTTCGCCAAATTTTGGGCTTCGTGACATGGCCTCCCCACCTATTTGGGGGGGACCCTGGTCGGTTGAGTAAATTTGTATCCCCATTTCGGATTGGCCTGTCACTCAGCACTCCATTTTTGTCAATTGTAGATATCGAGAATCCCATTTCCTTTAGTAAATAGGTCTTCACACGATACATCTACATTGTGACCATTGTGACAGCTGTAGTAGTAATCAATTTTACATAGTTTACAGTCAAAGTGAATAGTATAAACACTCTGTGCGTAAACTACTTTCCACGCCGACTTCATTTACCAAATTCCAGCTTAGCTCGTCACCCCGTTCTCCTCAACTTGAACGGTCGCGCCAGCCTGGCGGTGTTCGGCGCCAATAAATTGTGGTCTAGGAGCGATCCTCGGCAGCCACGAGTCTGAGATGCCCCATCCCTGACGATCTGTTAAATTTGGCTTCATCCGGGACAACCGGACCACGCTCCCAACGTCTATCGGATGCTCAAATTTCCATAAGACATAATTTCCCCACTGGAATCCATTCAACTGGTGTTCATTGTTCAGTACTGACCATCGCTCTTGTAGGACTAGGCAGTCTAATCCGACCCCCTTACTTTGTGATTATTTACATAAAATGCCGCTCACAGCTGTCCGCAGCTACAACGACCCTGAGAAGTACCGATGGGTGGTCCGTCTCACAGGCACGAACTGACAGTAAGCGCCCTGAGCAACCGCCAGTACCAATTGACCGGGGCAGCATGTTTTCCGTGTGTCTAGATTCCCGCCACCATCAGAGATGCGACATCGGACCTCGTTGGACCCAAAAAACCGGCTACGTCCTTTGTCGGACAGGGAATCAGTGGTGATTGCTATCAATCGGGACATATTTGCGGAAAAGATAATCTCCCGGGCAGCGAAAAGGAGGGCGGGCTGGGTGAAGTATTATGTGGGTCAGATACGCTCCGATCACAGGCGAGTCCATCATGATGTTTGACATAAACAAAACGAGGGGCCTGGTACCGAGTCTCACAACCGCTACTTTTCTGTTTGCCTATCGCTACTATCACTGCGCCTTTATCCAAAAGGGGAACTGAACGCCTCGTTTGCTAATACGTATATTCGCGGTGGATAAGACCCATTCACATCGTCACTACTGTTAGGCCCAAGCGTCACGTGCAGTTAATCACGTGATAAACGATTGCACCTCGCACTTCGGGTGATCAATCGAGTCCACGAGTCTGACTACCTGCGGTGTGTCACAAGGCTGTAGGAAGCAGCTCGAGAGTAGAATGGTATGAATAAACTTTAGCTCGAGGCTGGGGTGTACCAGCGAGAGCTACCGGTCTTAAATACTGTACAGGTAATGCTAATAATACAACTACTTATTGTGTCGGTCTGTGTCCATGGTGCCCGTTGTCCTTGGGCATCGTTGTTGTACATAAAAGGGTCATTGTGTGTTAGCGAGCATTCCGGTATCTAGGCGGTTCGGTTGTGCTTACTAAGCCCTTCTCACGGTTTCGTGCTAAGCGTAAATAGGAGTAAAAAGGAAAGAAAAAAGGGAAAATCGTAACATTACCCCCTCGTTTAAGACCATCGTCCCGATGGTTTAATTAAGGGAAAGCTCATAATCATGTATGGCTGTGTCCGCGTTCATGTATTTTTCGTTAACCCACTGGTTAGATTCTGGGCCGTAACCCTTCCAGCTGACGAGGTAATCGACCGTTGTCGTCATACCGCCTCCCTTTGCTTTGACGCGCCGGAGTTTGTGATCCAGGACTTGGTCGATTTCGAAGTGTTCTTCGTCGTCAATTAAGTCTGGTGGTGGGGGAGGTGGTCGTTCCTGGTTAGGAAATGCTGGTGCTATGTACGGGTTTAATAGGGTTTCGTTGAAGACGTCGTGAATTTTCCAGGTAGCTGGTAAGCGTAATTTATATGCGCTTGGTCCGACGGCTTTGATGACTGTGAACGGTCCCGTTCGTTTGTCATCAAGTTTCTTTTTTGGTCGTGGTAGGTGGAGGTTTGTCGTGTCCAACCATACTTTGTCGTTTGGTTGATATACGCGACCCGGCCGTCGGTGTTTGTCGTAGCTTCTTTTCATTGATGCTGCGGCCTTTTCCAGCGCTGTTTTTGTCTCATTATGAATCTTTTCCATGTCGGCTGCGAAGTTTGATGAAGCGGGTGTTGTGGTTCGGACGCGAGTGGTATGTGTGACGTGTGGGTGATATCCGTGGTTCACGAAGAATGGCGTTTTCCCCGTAGCGGAATGTATCCGGTTGTTATGTTGAAAGGCTGCCAGTGCAAGCCATTCCGTCCAGTCATCCTGTCGATAGTTGATGAAGAGTCGTAGATACTTTTCGATCTCTTGATTTACGCGTTCTGTTTGCCCATCTGTTTGGGGGTGATAGGTGGTAGACGCGTTTTGTTTGATGTTTAGGATGCGGTATAAGTCGGTTATGAACTTTGAGACGAATTGAGGCCCCCTATCTGAGATGATAACTTGGGGCATCCCATGCTTGGCATACACTTCGTCTCGGAGGATTTTGGCCCACCCTTCGGAGTTTAATTCCGTGGAGCATGGGATTGGGATAATTGCCTTGGAGAATCGATCCACGATTACAAGTATTGCGTCATACCCATTGCATTCGGGTAGTCCAGTGATCATGTCGACCGAAATGTGTGTCCAAGGGGCCGATGGTACTTCGTTAGGATGTAACGGTGCTGCTCGAGCTTGTGTGGACGACTTCCCTCATTGACAGGCTTCGCAGGCCTTTACGTATGCTGTTATATCGTTTCCTAGTTTCGGCCACCAGTACTCTCGGAGTACGAGCTCCTTGGTCTTGGCGATACCCGGGTGTCCTGCTGTTATGTGGTCATGGCAGGTGGCGATAATTTCGCCGTGTAGTTGATGGTCCCAGGGAACGTAGATGCGTCCGTCATAATGGATTAATCCATCCCTTTTTGTCATTCCCCGCTCATGGTTTAGTGAGGGAGCCACCCTTTGGTCCCATTTGTGACTGTCTCGTGTCGCGCTTTTGATCCGTTCATGGATCTCCTCTTCTGTCGGCATTATCATGGCTCGGAAATGTTCCGGCCTTAGCAGTGTTACTCCCATGTTGTCCGCTCCCCCTTGATCATGGTCTGCTCGTCGGCTCAGTAAGTCGGCTTTCTTGTTGGCTGTTCCTGCCTTATGATGCAGGGTGTACTGATATTGACTGAGCTCAGTTACCCAATGTGCTTGTCGTCGATTGAGTTTCTGTGGCTGTCGGAAGTAACGTAGGTTCTGGTGATCTGTCCAGACTTCGAACGTTTCTTCGGCGCCAATAAGGTAGTGTCGCCACTCTTCAAGGGCGAGCATAATAGCAAGCAATTCCTTGTCGTAGATTTCGTAGTTTCGTTCTGTTGTGGTTAAAGCCTTGGAGAGGAACGCGACGGGCCGCCACTTCCCGTCCTGTTCTTGGGAGAGGACGGCTCCTATTGCTCCCTCACTGGAGTCAGCTTCCACTCGGAACTTCCCTTCTTGGGTGGGAATGGCTAATATCACGTCTTCCGCCAGTCGTCGTTTAAGGTTATGGAAGGCGGTCTGCTGAGAGTCCCCATTGCCAGGGAGCATTGCCCGTTAGCTGTGTCATTGGGCGGACGATTTTGCTATAGTCGCGGATGAATCGTCGATAAAAGTTCGTGAATCCAAGGAATGATTGTAACTCCTTTTTCTTGGTGGGTTCCGGCCATTCGGCGACCCCTGCTACTTTTATCGGGTCCATTCAGATGCTTCCTTCGCTGATGATTACACCAAGGTACTCCGTTTCCAACACCTCGAACTCGCACTTTTCTGCTTTAAGGAATAGTTTATGTTTCCTCATCAGGGCCAGTACCTCTCGTACTAGTTCTCGGTGTTCCGCCTTCGTTTTTGACATAATTAGAATGTCATCGAGGTAAATTGTTACCTTTCTGGTGGAGATGAGGTTTTTAAAGATGTCGTTCATCATCCATTGAAAGGTGGCGGGGGAGTTCGTGAGTCCGAAGAACATTACTGTTGGCTCGAACAGTCCCCGATTGGTGCGGAAGGCGGCCTTCCATTCGTCCCCCTCCTTGATCCGGACGTTATTATATCCCCATCGTACATCGAGTTTGGTATAATATTTGGCGCCCCGAAGCTTGTCCATTAGTTCTGAGATTAGGGGTAATGGATAACGGTTTTTAATGGTCATCTCATTAAGCTTCCGATAGTCTTGGACGGGCCGGAGCTTTCCATCCTTCTTTTTGACAAAGAAGAAGGGAGAGGCCATGGGAGATTTCGAGGGGCGGATCCTTCCGGTGGATAGGTTCTCTTCCAGGAATTTGTCTAGTTCCTGCTGCTCCTGGTAACCGAGGGGATAGGTTTTACAGTCCAAGTTGGCGTTGGCATTAGGGATTAGCTCGATAGCATGGTCCCAGGGCTTTGGGGGAGGTAACTCGTCGAAACTCTCCTTCTCAAAGAGATCCCTATAGTCTCGTGCCCACTCGGGTACCATTTCCTCAAACGTCTTCTCGTCCCTTCCTTGATTTGCTTTGGCGGCCATATCATTGGCATGGTGAATGGCTCGTATGTGGATCTCCTTCTGGAGGTCCACTGCAAGTATCGTTTCCCCATCCTCCATCTCCTCATCCCACCGGTCCTCCGGATCTTCGTCTGGTAATTCGAACGGGATCTTCCTGCATCTGCACCTGGCGAAGGTGATCCGACCGGTTTTCCAATTGATCAGTGGGTTGTGGCGGATCAGCCAGTCGTGACCGAGGAAGAGTTCTTTGGTGCCTAGGTCGGTTACTGCCAAGTCGATCCGTTCGGAGTGGTCTCCAATGGTCAACCTGAGTTCGACGAATTCTGTGATAGAACCGGCCTGGTTCTTTGTTCCGTCGGCATTATAGACTGGTATTGGTGTGGCTGTCGCCCTTGTGGGTAGATGGTGTTGTTCGACGAAGGCTCGATTAATCGAGCTCCCTGTGCAACCACTGTCGATTAGGGCGGTCACTTGATGTATGGCGCGGGAAGTCAGCACCTCAATCTGTCCTTTCGTGGTTAGATCTCGTCCAGGGGTCTTTGCCCGTAAGATGTATTTTTTGGGCCCCCGGAGTTCGTCCAACCATTCAAGGGCCCGATTGCGTTCGGATTTTCTGATCCCTTCGATCAGATCGTCTACCACTTCTTCGGCCCTAGTCCGATGGATCCAGTTTCGAAGTACGGCTATCGCCGTGGCTTCGTCCTTGGCATCCCTGATGGCCCTCCATGTCCATTCCGTATCGAATGGTTTGAGCCATGTGGTAGGACTCTCTGTCCTTGTTCAGCCTATAGGCGTTTGAGTTCCTTTTTGCGATTCATTGGTGTGTTTGGTGAATGACTGGGGTATATTCGAATGCGTAGTAGGCGACATGGATGTAACTACAGGAGCACTATCAGTCCGACTAGCGGCTGTCACTGACACACCATTAGGTCCTTTGGCCAGCCCAGTGGAATCGCTCACTGGCTGGCCCCGTCTTTTACTTCCTCAATCTTGGTCTCCTTCCCAAGGTCCTCTTCTTCCTTTTGGAGCTCGGCGATCTGTGCCCGTATGTCTTCTCGGGTTCTTTTCTTCTTCGGGCAGTCCTTTGCCATGTGCCCCTTCTGCCCGCAATTGAAACACTTTCCTTCCTTCTTTAGGCGATCGATGTCCATTGGCTTCCCGGTCCCGGTGTAAGTCGTGCCGGTTCCGGTTTTCTGTGCGCTATATGTCGAGGTGGTGGCGGACGAGGGGCCCGGGGATTTTCCGGCAGTTTGCCCCGACTTGTTCGGGGTTGGCGGGGCTGGCTTCTTGGAATATTCCTGCAGCGTCGTCGCCTCCGCTTTCTGCCTTTGTCGCTCCTTGTACATCTCAACGATCCTTTCCTTCCATTCATCGTAGCCGACGGGCATCAGCATCTTGACACCCATCGCTGAGATCATTGTGAGGTACGAGGAGGGGACCCCTCGTTTGAGCGCCTCTACCATCCTTCCGTCGTTCGCGGTATCCTCTCTGATGCCGGCGAGTTTCGCGAGGCGTTCTAGCTCGTCGAAGTAGTCCGTCGCCGCCTTATCTCCCATTTTGTATTCCTTGATCTTCTGTTTGTGAACTTCTTGTACTGCAGGATCAATGAATTTGTCGTTTAGCATCCGCTTGAATACCGGCCATGAGGGATATCGGTAATGCTCCCTGGTGGCGGATCGGAAGTTCGGGGAGATAAGAATCCACCATGTTTTGGCCTTGTCTTCCAAGTATGAGGTAGCAAACGCGACCTTGTTCATGTCGGTGCCGATGTAACCAATGTAGACCTCGAAGTATTGCTCGCAGTCTACCAGGAAGCGGTCGATGTCGTCTGAAGCCCCCTTGAAGGGGCGGGGCTTTCGGAGAAGATCGGGGTGGCACTGCAGGACTTGGGCATTATGAGGTAGCGCCCCCATCGGGTTGGGCCATTCGTCGAATGGTGGCTGTTTCCATTCTCTTGGTGGTCCTGGAAATGAGTGAAGCGACTGGTCGTCAGCGACCGGGCTCTCTTTTGGGGCTTCGACGCGAACAATGACCCCATCCCGCACTGTAAATCCGAGGCGAACCGCTTCGGGGTCATCTCGGATGGGTTCTTTTCCGCTTGACTCCGCCTGGTCCGGGGGTGGCTGTCCCCCAAGGAGTCGGCTTCCTTTGCCGACCCAGGGATTTTGCGTTTCGGCGAGGTGCCAAGCCGGCCGTGTTCGGGTTCGGACGAGCCGTGAAGCCGTGCTTCGGATTGATGGACTATCATCAGTCCGAGCTCGGATCGAGGGGGCCGTGTATATGGCTCGTTTCGGCACGACGGGTGGGGTTCGTGGTAGTGGTTGAATGTTGGTCTGTGGTTGAAATGGGGGCATCGGCCCGAGCGGGTCCTCGGGATGCCGGCGCCCATATTCCTTCCAGGCGTATTCCGTCGCGGCATACTGTAAAATCCTTTTCTTTTCCATTGAATCTGCGTACCGATATTCAAGTCCGAGGGAGGTAGCCAACCAACGGGCGTCTCCCCATAAAAAGAGCATCCCTTGCTCGTACAACTCCTTGTATTCTCCCTGTCTGCTCCTTTCAATTTCTTCCCTTAATGCTTCTTCATCTGGTCGTTGTCCTGCGTATGTCATGAAATGTTGAGGATTAAAGGGGCCTTCCTCGCCGTCCTCGCTGTCCTCGCTGTCCCCGCTGTCCTCGCTGTCCCCCTCGAGGAGGGAGGCGGCGAGCTGGTCGGAGGTGAGAGGTTTGAGTCGTAGCGTTGCTGGGGAGCCCCCCGGTGTGACTGGGTCCTGCTTCTCCTTCGGCGATGGGGCGGACTGGTACAGGTGGGACTCCATAGTACCTTGTTCCTCCTGCCGTTCTCGCTCTCTCCAATTCCTCGCTATAGAGGCCGAAGTTTCAGTAGAACTCTGGAAGGAGGAACTGGTGGGCGACCCGACTTCCCAGGAATCGTCGGAGGGCGAGGTCGGAGACGTGGGCGTTGTCAGGTACCCGGAGCCCGTAGGCATCGAGTATGGAGTCGACGTCGGACGCGATGGTGTCTGTTCGGCTGGGGTATTGTAAGTCGGGAGGGGGAGGTCCTCCTCCCCTCCTGATTGCTTCGCTTCTTGTGACTGGGCTTCCTGGCCCTGTCCAGGGGTCGTCGTCGGAGCCTGGCTCTCTGAAAGGGGACTCGGTCCCTGGGGACCGGAGTCCGTACTGTGCGGGGGAAGCGGAGCCCATCCTTTCTGCCTCTTCTCGTCGTCTCTGGGCTCGTCCTTGTCAGTCATACTCGGCTTCCTCATACTCCTGCTGAGCTTGTGCCCGTGCATACTCAGCGAGCTCTTCTCGAGCTCGCTCCTCTTCTGCTCTACGCTGCTGGGCCTGCTGCTGCTGTCATAGTGCGTCGTTGTAGTCAAATGGGACGGTGAGGTCCCAATCTGGGAATACCCTTCAGATAATCCTGTCCCTCGCGATTCTCCCCCTTGCGCTGGCAGTGCCAATCTCTGGCTCACTACCGACATGGAGGTGTCGGATCGGATCCCCGGCCGCTGTGATGGCAATCTCAACGTTGGCGTAGTCAGGGTGTATGTTTCTTCCGTGGGGGTTCTCAACCCCCAGCCTGCTAATGGACGCACTGGAGCCGGAGTTTGGCTCGGTAGGTTCGTAGAGGGAGTCCCGGGGCGAGTGGGGGGTAGTCCTGATTCTCGAAGCCACCCGAGAGGCATCACGGGAGTCCCGAGCATGGTCTCCAATCCCTGGGGTGCGAGAGGCGGTGGAAGGGCCATCGGGGGCTGGAGGGAGGTCGTGGGGGATCTCCTGGGTGACCTGGGGGACCGTCGTGGTCCATGGGTTTCGGAACCCTGTGAGGTTATGGTCCCGGTTTCTACTGTCAGGTCGTCGAGGAGGGTATCGGTGTCCTTCTTCTTCTTGAGGGCTCCCCGTATCCTGGCGGCTATGCCCGGCTTCTGATACGGGAAACTCCTCCGGCTGGAAGGTCGTTCTGGCGGAGGGGGGGATGTCATGGAAAGGGAGATCCGGGGTTACGTTTTGGAGGATATGCTGAATTTGTTGAAATGCTTGGTAGTGCCTGACAATCCAAGCGGTAATTGATTGTCGCCCTCGGCAACAAGTGATGATGGCAAGAAGGCTGAGTAGCGTTCCAATGATGGAAGCTATAAGGTCAAAGAAGTCGTGATTGAGGTCGCAGGTTGTAACTGGAGTCATTCGGTTTCTCAGCACAATTGGGCTTGAGAAAGGGAAGGAGGAAGCCTCGAGCTAATTGTTAGGCCCAAGCGTCACGTGCAGTTAATCACGTGATAAACGATTGCACCTCGCACTTCGGGTGATCAATCGAGTCCACGAGTCTGACTACCTGCGGTGTGTCACAAGGCTGTAGGAAGCAGCTCGAGAGTAGAATGGTATGAATAAACTTTAGCTCGAGGCTGGGGTGTACCAGCGAGAGCTACCGGTCTTAAATACTGTACAGGTAATGCTAATAATACAACTACTTATTGTGTCGGTCTGTGTCCATGGTGCCCGTTGTCCTTGGGCATCGTTGTTGTACATAAAAGGGTCATTGTGTGTTAGCGAGCATTCCGGTATCTAGGCGGTTCGGTTGTGCTTACTAAGCCCTTCTCACGGTTTCGTGCTAAGCGTAAATAGGAGTAAAAAGGAAAGAAAAAAGGGGAAAATCGTAACAACTACTACATAAACCCAATGCTGAATGCTTGAGAGTGAAGCTGAATTACAAATGGCATCATGAATGCGCAACAGTTTGATAAACCAGCGAAGATCTTACTTGTTATGTGAACCATGGCAGTGTTACTCCCGGTCATCAACTTGATAGCCATGTCCCTCCATTTCGACGATTTGTCTCCGGGCCACTCTGTAACGCAGGTAGCTTCCTGGTCATACGAGTCGGTTGCCGCCCATTCTGGGATCTTCAAGAAATCACCATTGTCGAACTCATACATGGCGAGATACTTGAAGGTGGACTTTCCGACAGCTTCTCCACGGCCCATCGCGATCCATGACAGCTGAATTCGAGTGGCCCAAGACAATACCAGAATGGCGCAACAGATATTCGCGACCGACGGGCAGTCGACCATATAACCTCTGGAAACCTGAGCCACTTCAGAATTTCTTTCAAGAGCTTCTTCCACCGAACGACGAACCTCACCGACATGATGGTTTCACCTTTTTGACTCGTTATCAATGTGAGCCCGGCATTGTGATTTATGAACCGAATCTTTCCCACCTCATACGCTCGATTTTGTTCGCTCGTTTTTCCCATCGCTCATGACCATTTCAGAATAATATCCATTGTCCGGCATGCACCATTCATAATCAAGATGTTCTCATTCGTCTATTCAGTATCGACGGCGACGTCACAGCGGACGAACACTATGAAGCCATCCGAAGACTCTTATATCGGTAATGGCAACAATTCGGGACACCTACAACTACGCCGAACGTGTGTCCGTAGCGTCGGAACAGTCACTCAACCTATCAAGTCCGTTCGCCTCAGACGACACGACAAATCAAGGGAAAGAATGCGGGATGTCGACTGCAGCCTGGGATTAGATAACAGTTCGATTAGGGAAGTCGAATGAAAATACCCACAAAAGGTCTCTGATCAGAACGATCCGGCGTGCGGAGGTCGTACCATGCGGTGTAATAACGATGATGATCAAGAGAGATCTAAATCTCAGAATCTTGGACCAACAGACACCTATAAACATCGGATCCGCGATCAGCTGTGCGCACGGCACAGGTCTAAAATTGCCTCCCGGCCCCATGCGCCTGATTGTCGGAACTTAACAATAAGCCGAACTTGGGAAATCGTCCAGGGTCCATGCTCGTCCAAAGCTGACCCATGCTACGGCTATCTCGTGCGGCGACCTACGAGATTCGGATATTCGTCGCGTTGAGCATGATTCATCCAAGAGCGTACGTTAACGAACCCAGGTTCTATGAGCCAAAATGAAACCGCTGGAGCTAGTCATAAGCCAGCAAAGGAGGGTCCGTCACAGGAGAGGAGACAGCCGACAAGGCCGCACGTTCTGCGATCCTGGTCTAACGTGGATCGGCGCCAGGAGAATGCGGAAATACATTGTTGAATTGGCTTCAGTAGGTCGTTCGTTCTCCGTATTGTTGGGCTCCATTGCTGACGTTTTTGTAGACTGTCGACTGTGGAAGCTTGAAGGCATAGGTCATAGATGGAGACCACGAAAGAGGAACAGCTCATCTGTCGTCTGCTCCATCATTCAATGGTGGGACAGTTCCCTCGGCGTCGGGCTTCTTCGTTACTCGATGTTCAATATGGAAATTCTGACGGATTGTTTTCCTTGGCCCAAAGAAATCGAGACGGCCGGGGACCGGAAAAGAAAATAAGACCTCCATTCCGTGCTGAAAAATCGATGAAATTTCTTGGACCGCATCGTGATACCATTCTGCAGGTCGAGCACGGCCCTACCTGCTCTCTTGGTCAGAGATACGAAAGAAAGGCGGTCCATCGCTGTTAGAGAAGGGCTCACCATCAGCTGCTCCATTGCCTTGATACCATCTCTCCCCACCACCCCTCCCCCCCCTCCCCCCACATATTCCGCTGCCGTGCTCGACGCCATTCCATCCCGTCTTTTTACCAAGGTGTCCTCTCTGGACATTAGTCCGTGACAGCAGGTCCGGCTGAAATACAGTTCTCCAAATCTCGGGGGCCTTGAAGCCTCTGGCTGACCTCCATTTCGTGGGTGCTCTGAACGTCGAGACTACAAGCCCGCCGGTGAAATGCAAGTAAAATAGGGCTAAATCCTTGATGCGAACTCCTGAGCTTCGTAGCATTATCGTCGTATTTGAGGACCGAGTCGTCTTGTACGGCGCATCGGCTACGCCATGTCGATTATATTGATTACACACGGAGTCGGCAGCGAGCTCACCTGAACACGGTTCTCAGGCATTGCCTCTGCCGGTGAGAAAAAGAGGTATTGCAGTCATCGTCGTCGTGGAAGGAAAAGAGTGTTAAGCACAGCGTCGAGCCCAGCCCAATATGGAAGCTACCTTTCTCCCATTTCCTTCCTTTCACGACGACAGCGCCTCAACTGGAGACTCAGCCTACAGACGACGAGTAACACGATCCAGTAAAGAGCAATTATCTGGATCCTGGGACTCTTTCTCGCGGAATACTCGACAGGGCTGCAGACATGCTCATATTTCGTACAAAAGGACCATCGCTTTACAGTTACTGTTCGGCAGACTGGACAGGATAGAGACATACTTGGAAAGCTCAGTGTCACGGTGGATGATTCGTTAGCCGATATCGAGGAGACAGTTGACCCGAATCCGAAAGATAAATGGTCACCCCAAATTCTTCCATTCGCTCTCACTGATAGCGCGAATGTTTTCCTCATGCCTTCGTAGAGTTTGACAGGGATTACAGCGCTGGGGAAATCCCGACTCGATTACTAGGTATCAGCTCTACGTAAGTTTGTTTTTGGATCTCGTTCATGTAAAATCTGATCTTGCATTTTGCCAGGACTGCATGTATCTCTTCTGATAGTCAACATGGCATTCCTCAATGTATTGACCCCCAATATATCGCTACCTACATTCAGCTACGACGAAGATTCTGAATCCACTCTTTCTTCATCGTCAGAAGAAGCCAAGGACCCCAACTGGATCTCGACAGGCGATATGTTCTCCTGTCTAAGAGAACAAGAGCCCAGATTCCTCGTTAAAACCCACCATGATAGAGGAGATTGGTGCTGTAATGGCCTTGCCTAGCTGCGTCAGTTGCTGACAATACGTTATTCCTTCTGACCGATGCCTTGAACTTTAGCTCTTTACGTATTGAAACGGCTCTGCTATTCGTTATTCAATGCCGAATGCTCTCGAGACTAGAAGAGAGTGTACATCTGCGCTTCAGTTCGACATCTTATGGATCATGCCCCCCCCTTCTTGACGTTTATATGAAATGGACAAAGTTGGTCGATTTGGTCCTGATGGTGGATGAACTGCTCAACGGTGCAAAGCTGTTGTGGGTTGGACTGAAATGTCTGGGTAAGATTATCTTCCACTGTCATGGTCTAAATCTCAGTTCTAGATTCCCTGGAAGTTGGTCGCTGAACATGGAATCAGGCGGCGCGTACAATTCTGGCACCCCTGATGCCCTAATGGCATTTTGTCGACACCTGCAATTAGAGCTTGAGAAGCATAACATCTCTGTCGAGATAGAGACCTCGGCTTATAGTGAGTTCCGTTCGTTTGAGTTGATTCTGACAGCGTTTGTATGTAGAGCTTTGACCCGAGAATCCATCTCCCATAGAGTTCCGGGATGCCAGGGATGCCATCGAGTTCCTTCTATCGGCCGGTGCAGACGCAGAGAATAGCGTTCTGAGGACTCCTCGGGCATAACTACAAGCTCGCTTGCCTGAGGAAGCATGAACCGCTATCAGAGATTACCCATTAGTAGCAAAGACCACGCAAGATCGTAATCGAAATGTGCGATTTCAGGGAATCAAGAATCAGCGACGGATCCGACAGGTCCAAGGAACGATCGGCCGTGATAAGGACGCCGATAATACTACAGAGAACAAGGCCAAGACACATACTCTGGTGTCCCATACGAAAGGGAGTAATCAAAAAAGCTCGTATGGCTATCGTAGGGGCCCAATTGAAAGCAATTTATCCCATTGTTACCAGGGTTGAAGAGAAGTCAGCATTCGTTCGGATATCTAGATATCGAAACTAGTACCTTCCCTTCCAAGGCAAGATGTAAATCGTATCTATCGCTATACTTTTTAAGGAATCAGTTGCACAGTGAGTATACCATTGGAGAGCACACATTCGGTGTGTGTAACAGGGACGACGATGTGGAGGGATGACCACAACTGCGTCCTCACGTAGGTCAGGAGCAGCGACGACTGCTTCTATGGCATGACTGCGTTATGGTCCTCAGGGAGAGAATAAACGAAGATTTCTTGTAGCGTCTCCGTGTGGAGAGCGAGCGGAACGGCGAGACGAGAGCCTTGTGGGAAAATAGAAAGCCTTCTTTTTTGGTGCGAGAAGACAAGACCACTTGACGTTGAGCTTGGAGGCGTTCCAATTGTATATCCACATCCTGGAATTCTGTGTCGATATTAGAGATTTTGGAATCGAAAAAATGAACTGTAACAGTTCGTTGTTGTCCGCATTAGTGGGGTAGTGGTAACCTGGCCCGCCGGGGGTTCGATTCCCCTTCAATGCGCTTCTCGCGGATGATAATTTTTATTGTAGATTATCTCGGTTCTTCCTAACGTCTATGTTTACTTTACTACTGAATAGTCTTTTACCGGTTAGCTGTGCAGATTTTGCACCCTAACCGATACATTACTGGTGTAACTAAATTTGCCCACAACCTGACTTCAAGTTTGTCCGCATTACGCCTATATTGAATCATTTGGATCCGTGGGAAACATCATGTTGGGCGGCAGCTTCGCTACTTTTTCCGTGGACTATGCCTCATATCCCCTTGGGTGTACATGCAGAATAGCTCCTCTGAGTGTGACTGGGCTCTCATGAAGGCTCGATACAAATACGACGTGGTCTCTGCCAAGACTAGTCATCTCGCTGCCGGAATGGTCGTCAAGGAAATCCCGCGATTCCGAGATCACGTTCTTGGACCTCCTGGAAAGGACTTGTTGGAAGGATCTTTATTACATGCGGCGAGCTGGAGTGTATTGTGCAGGGGATCAAGACGCTGCATGAGAAACATTCAGTACCAAGTTCATAGGAACGTCGAGTTCTTTGAGCAGGAGGTGCGCCTGCGTAGTGAACCCATTGTGGATTTTTCTTTGGGAGACGAATCAGGGGAAAGAGAGCGTCGAGTGGTTTGTGCCAAAAAATATAACGGCTAGTACGGGTCTCGGTTGAGAGAAACGTTACCCCAGCTGAATGCGCCGGTGCTCGTCGTAATGGCCGAAGGAAAAAGAAATCTACAACCTTCACCCGCCATTAGCTGGGCTCGTGTCGATATCGTCAAGATGGTCCATCCTTTCGGCGACGTGAGAAGCAGCACTTTCATGAAGCGAGATGTGTCGGTCCTATGATGAGAGACAAAGTCTTTATCTATGTTCTAAATACACTCGAGCAACCGGGTAAAGGAAGGGATTCATATGTGCATACGCCTAGCATGATAGCAAGCCAAGAAAGGCAACGACAATGACGACAAGGGTATCACGACAAGAGCAGGATAGATAGACGATTGCAAAAAGAAAACGATGGTCATGACGATAGAAGGGGAGTTTCTCCCATTATTGGCCTACTTCAGTGCGGCGCGATGTTCTGGGGGATGCTGGAAGGAGGGTGAGGCAAGTGATCATAGCGGCTGGCGTTATGTGCAATGGTGGTAGGCAGCACATTCTCAGGAATTGATAGGTGCTGGGGGCCCGGGTGGTAGGTCTACCTCCTTTTATCCTGGTCTTTTCGACCACCTCCCTCCGAGGTACTGCTGATGGCAAAGATTCGACCGCTCTTCGTGCTGTTTCTGAGACGATGAGGATAGGGAATAATAGGTCAGTGTCGGGGTCAAGTCGTAGCGGGTACGCTTGGGTCGAATCCGCAACAAGTTCGCGCCATCAGGAAGTTCATCTACCACTGGAATCATATTAACTGACTTAATCCATTTCACATACGCGTTGATAGAGTACGGCGTCTTGAAGTCATGATCGACTACATATCTTGGAGTACATGAGTCCTGGTGCGTCTTTTTGTTCATATATGCGCCCATCCTGACTAACTTTTACCAGAATGTATAGGGAAAGTGTTTGGTTACACGCCCGACAGAAGATACTCTACTCGGACAAATGATATTCGGTCTCTCGGTATCGTTCTCACAACGATGGTCACTAGGTGTGGTGGTGACGACAGACTATTCCTCTAATTCATATCTTCAGGACGGAGATCACCTAAGACGCTTCTTGCTAGGTATATCTGCAGGCGCCTGACCATCCTCAAGAAGATCTTCCGTCTGGAACCTCGCAGTCGTATTTCCTTGGCTGATCTTCAACGTGAAATTGCCGAACTCGAGACATTCTTCGCCGATGAACCTCCTTCCGATCGCTCGATCTCATCGCTAGGCTCCATCCTGCCGAGCGAGATTGGTGCAATGCGTATCGATGACACTGATGTTCTTCTAGTCGCCCGCAGTACAATAGAAGCAGGTGTCACGGGTGACGACTCTCTTGCGCTCGATCTTCGGGCAATCCATCTTGTCGGTGTCGACAGGCGTCTCAGCGCTCCAGCCGTCATGAACTCTCAATTCGTAGGCGATGACAGTGGCATAATGTCCGTACTGCCATCATTGCAAGCTATCCATTCCGTGATGTTTTCCAGATCGATTGCTTCGTCGGTGGACAGTGATGGACCTATAGCACCAGAGACTCACCCAGTTCATGTCGATGTCAGTGAGGTGCCGCACATGGAGGAAGGCGAAGGTATTGGCGAAGTGGACATAGCATTGGTGGTCAAGGATGACGAGAATGATATTCAACCGACTGATTTCGCTGACGGCGCTGGTTCGCAGAACAAACGGGGGTTCTTCCGGCGGTTTGTTCAGAAATTGGTTGCGTCTTGGGATACGTTGTCGAGGATTTTTGCTTTGGTTTGAGTTATATGCAGCGTCCTATGCCGTGCAATCGTACAGAATCTCCTTAATACGAAGGAGATGACACTGACAGACGAAACACTTGGTCAACGGAAGCGGCCACCAAATATTCTGTATTTTCAACTATACTAGCTTTCACTCATTGCAAACCGGAGCCCTATTTCTTGCCCTCTACACCGAAGTTGCCGCAGTCCTCTTTGCCAGGCAGGTTTTGGAAGCAGTGGCAGTGGCAGTAGTGGAAGTGGGGGTGGCAGTGGGAGCAGCAATAGTGCTGGTAGTAGGTGCTACCGAACCCGGGCTGCAAATAATGACCTCAGTTTAATTTTAATATCCCATGCGAGGAAATCACCGCATACAGGCACTAAGAGTAATAAGCATTCAGGACAGTGCACATCGATCCGGCCACACAAGTCGTCGCACCAGCTGCCGTAAATCTCAGCGGAAAGATGTCCAAGTGGATGAGAGTGAAACAAAATTTTATCGGACCTTCATTCACTAGGCCACGGATACGAACCAAGAGAACATGCCTATCCACAAGAGAGAAATTCTTGAGCGATGGGAAGGCGAATATAGAGCAAGAATGTGTAAGCTTGATCGAAACAAAACAGCTCAGACAAGAGAAATAAACAGACGACGGAGATACTTACTAATGGCCCAGATCAAGGCAAATCTGAATCTTGGACCAACAACCGCCTACAATCTCAATATCCTCGGAGCCGCGATCCTTGAACCTGAAGCGTTGCGCACGTATTGCGTCGTGACGATCCATGCGTCTGGTCGCCGGATCCTTGATAAACAGTCAGCAAACCGTGCCCGGGAAAATTTGATTCCATACCTCCACGAGCATGCCCACGGCCACTAGCCAAGATACAATCATTGTCGTAACCACCGGCCAACCACCTACATCCAATCTTCAGATGTCTACCCCTGAGCCCAATCCACCCGATGAACGGCCGTGGATTGAACAGCGTCCTGCTATTCCCGTACCAAAGAGCCCACTTCCAACGTTAGCGGATCTACTGGTAGTTAACAGAAAGAGGGAAGGGATTGGTGCGAGGACGAAGGGAGCAAGGTGATGACGAAAAATGCAGCCGATGATGAAACTTTGCCGAACGTGCGTTTTTTGTTTTGAAGATTTCGTTGAGTAACTCCGTGGTCAGTTTGGCAACCAGGTGGAATCATACAACCTAGCCGCAGTGTTGGATCGGAAGAAGTTGTAGATAAACGAGCAATACTCACCGGTAGCATCATCGACACGACCAAGTCAGTGTCCCCGGGCGACTGGTATACATCATGACACGCCTTCGCAAGTTTCCGGCGATCATCCTCGCCAACAAACCGGTTAATGAAGTAGGGAACAATTCGTCTGTCCTGCCAAATATCCAAATATGAAAAACAAACACTACCGCAAAAACGAAACCACTATACCCATTACTGCTTCAACTTCCTGATCTCTTATTGCTGGTAGGTTGACCGGCATCGGTCACCATGCCTTCAGTCTGCTCTTCACAAATATCCCAGTATTGCATTTGAGGGAGTACGTGGATGCCTAGAGCTTCATCTGCTGATAGAGAGCGCTTGGTCTTGTCATCGTTGAGGGCGCGATCCTGGTTGTATTTAGGACCACGAACGAGCATGAAAGGAAGACTCTCACCGGTATACACCATTCCTTCGGAGCATGGAGCGAGAGCATCCGACAGAGCTGCGATAGTCTTCAATGTGCGCCTCATAGACACGTAGCCGGATCATTCCAAGTCCAGTCCACATGATTGCTTGTTCACATTCGCAGCTACAAGTGCTTCACGACCAAACTTGGGTTGTACGTTCTTGCCCTCGGACAGAAAGACGCTAACAAACATAGGGAGGACGAACGCAGACGTATGGACAGCATTGTTGTAATACCTCGTATCGCTGAGCTTACGCAGGGGCTTGCTCAAGTCACGATCAGGTTCCTTGGAACAGACTATGAAGCCTCTCTGACCAGAAGGGTAGGTGGGGATGGTCGTGTAGCCGTACTGGGAGACAGGAAAAATCTCGAGTGTCATTGATATAAGCTGGGAGATGAGTGGAAGGTGCAACAAGACATGTTCCTTGAGTGGAGATGTCATCACCGGGAGCAAGGGCGTCGTGGAGAAGCTGGAAGTAGGGCTTTTGGAAGAGAGACTGCAGGACCAACAGGATCCGAAGAGTCGGTGATAATGGCGTCATAGCGACCTTTATGCTCAGCCAGGAACTTGAAACCGTCTCCAATGAAACAGTCACATTCGCAGACGAAAGAAGAGAGGACACATGGGGAAGATACTGCTTGGATGCTCGGATTACAGCCTAGGAAACATTGAGCATGTTGACATTAACAAAACGGCGTGCAAATATCTCATCGATATCGCAGAGAACGACCTCCGTACCGAGTCGTGCTTTAACACTTCTCGAACGACACCACCATCGCTACCGAACCAGCCATCTGGTAAAAAAACAATGAATACCTTTATTGGGGAGACTGAAGGAATTATGCCTTGGATAGAGGGATGAGTGAGCGGGGCCATGGTAGTTGCAATTGAAGATGTGACGGGACAGCTTTCAAAATCAAAGTTTGAATTTCTGCCTCTCATGCCAATCACGTCATCGATATCGGTGTCAATGACGACATAGACGTTTTCGACCTTTCTGCGGTTCATTGGAGAAGGCTTCCAGCAGCAGAGAGCTGAGGTCGTCAAGAACATTTCCTGTGAACCACGAGGAGTGATATCGGAACGAAAATTCGGTGTTCGACGGTCAAATCGATGTTGAGCGCTACAGCAAACGCCATGAATAACATGAATAGAAAGCGACCAAAAGTGTTGATCCAAAGATCAGATGCTCATAACGACATAAATTTTGATATGGTCCACCGGAGTCTCGGGACTGAACGTCTAGGAGCCATAAGCTCGAAGCCACCCAGAGAAACAATAATACGCAAAATTAACCAGACCGAAGAACCGGAACTTCGGCTCCTCGGCTCAGTGCCCACCACAGAAGAATAGCGTCCCTCAATCACCACCTGGCACCCCATAACTGCCCCAGTACGGAGTCATCCGAAGACTGGTTCGTCAATGCAGGACGTTTAATAGACTTCGATCTCCCCAGACTGAGTAGCCTTGGGCCAAAATTGCACCCCATATGAAATAGCCACAAAGCTCAAATGAGATAGCTCTTGTCTACATCGATGAGCAGAAACGTCAGTGAGCAGACTTTCAGCTTAAACAGATGGCTTACCCTGGTTCTAATCGCGACTCCCACCCCTTGTACATCACCGCGATGGATAACACACGACGTTGAAGCATAAAGCAACGCGATCACTTGTTGAGACGAAAGATGGAACGATTTGTATATCTTGACCAAAAATAATCGAGCATTGGATTGGCGGCATATATTTGTCTACTCGCGAGGGAGGAGTAAGGCTTTGGCTGAAGTAACCAAGCCGAGGAATTTGTTATCGCAGGAAGGGGTCTGCCATATCGGATTCAGTAAGCGAGAATAAAAATTAGTAACAAGCCTGATTGATGACATTCACGGACCAGGGCTCGAGTTCAACGCAGCAGAGACTGAAAGAATAGTCAGCTCCATGTGTAAGGGGAGACGAAGGCTGAGCATACGATTGATCCAAGATTACCTCCTCCACCATGAGTGTTCCCGATCACCTCGGATGTGTTATTATTACAAAGTAGTGAACATACTTAAAATGCTCACCGTGGCCCGTTCCTGCAATGAAATAGGTGGCCGATCGTTCTTTCAGCATAGAACACTCGCAACTGAATTCTAAAACGTCCGTCTTCTCTTGAATTCCACGTCCTGATCTGTAAGTCATGACACGGCCTACTAAACCAGATCCACGAAAAGCCCACAGCCAGCAGACTCCTCGCAAACAAACGGGCTGACGTGGGCACCAAACTGAAAGGCGATAACCACACAACATACGTGTGAAGAGAACCGCCTCCACAGATTGTCGCCATTACAGTGGAGTGCCATCCACAAAACGGAGAGAAATATTTTGAGCCCTGACAGAAGCAAGGCTGAGAAGTCGGGTGATTCGGTCCAGCTGCCGGTTTCTTTCCGTGCTAGTCCTGCCATTAAAGACATACATGGGTGATACGCAAACCAAGACAGGGCTCGACGATGGAACGTTGAGTGTTCACAAGAAACAGGAAAGGATCCGATCGAGCATCAGGCAAATAGAACACGACCAAAATTGTTCGTAACAATGAAGCGTTGATTGTAAATTCCAGGGGTGTTAGTTCGCAGAAGCGAACGAGGTCGCCTTCCTTGCACTAGGCAGTATTAGCTTGAGATAGGACATCTGTGGAAAACATGTGAGCTCGTTACCACAGAGAAAAGGTGATACACACGATTAACCGGCCCAAAGAAGTCGGAACTTCGGCTCCTGGGCATACCGCGCACCACACAAGAAATCATCCCCCGACGCGACATCGGCCATGTCATAAAACTCCCCGATACAGTCATAGGAATCTGTATATGTCCATCTTCTCGCTATCCTTGGGTGCTCCTCTCAGAAATATCACCATGGGTCGAGGAAGTCGCGAAGGACGAGCGGAGGGGTCATTTCAACGTTGAAGTCGTCTTCCAAGACAAGCAGAAACGTCAGAGATAAGAAATACACCTTCAGGATAGGACGACTCGCTTCTCCCAACGAAAGTTATCTCGTCCAATCAGCTGAGCTACGACCCGTAAGCGTAGTTTCGTCCTCTTCCCATACTGATGAGCCGGTGCTACACAGGAAGAAAGGGAGAAAACACTCACAAAGCCAACAGAAAAACACTTGGGCAATAGCGCCTCCCTTCGACGTCGGTGTAAACTAGATACTAAATCGCCACGAAAGACAGTCCTTGTGTGCCGCTGCCACCGCCAAGAGCTTCATGAAATCGAGAGCGAAGAACACAGTCGTTCGACGCAAAATCGAAGGCGCAAGCTCTCGTGTCCAGCTCGTCCAAATTGTAGGGCAACAGGATGAGTCTTCTCCCCAGACTGGATAGCTAAGAAATCGTCAAGGTCAGGTCGGACAGAAATCATCAAAAATATGGCTACATACCTTTCTACACACGTCCATCCTCATATACTGCGGTGCACCATCTGAGTTGGCCACTTTACCGAAATGCTAGCGCTCATCTACTGAGTAAGTAAATTGCCCTCAATCCCGTGAGCAGTCGTTGTGCGTATCCGAGAAAGTCTTGAAAGCAAACACGCTTGAGCTCAAGAGACGCGAAAAACGCGAAATGCTGTACGTACTGAGAGATGGATATTGTCGGTACCAAGACTAGAAATTACATTTGAAAAAGCCACCATGACGAGCGAAAAGAATCAGGGGGAAGCCTGATGCAGAGCAAATGACTGTTCGAGAGGCGTTTTAAATAAAGCGACGGTATAGACACGAAGCAGCTTGATAAGAGGGAAAGGAGAAGAGTGAACTTCAACCATGGGTGGCAGAAGGACACTAGCTTCGGCAATATCCGACTCGGGCCGATGTGCCTACCAGTACCCTTTCTGCCTTTTCTGAACTTCATGGCACCGTTCTACGCTGGCTTTTCCCTCGAACAGCTCTAAATTATATCTATAGAGGAATTGTCATGATATGTGCACATCAAACAAGAAAGATATTGATCTCTATAGCGACACCTAAGTGATACAACCTCTTCACTTCCTCCGGGTCAGGAATCTCGAACACCGACATCTTCTGGAACATATTTTCAGAAACTCTTCGCCCGACTACCCAGTTTTGAGCGTGGACAGGCTTGAGACCATCAATAGTAGGACTGCCGAGTAGTGTATATAGACCTTCCGGTATAGAGTATTGGTGCTCGGCGGTGACTTTGAATGTGTGTTTTACCCCGGTATTATCTTCGACGACCAACTCTCCCATTCGGCGCTTCCCCGCCAGTGAACCTTGGGCCAATCGCCTCACATAACCTGATTCAATGCAGGGTCCCTCATACCAGTCGGCATTTATCTCCTCTTTCCTCTCAACCCGCCCTAGCCACGTAAGACAAGGCGACGGCAGCACCTCAGTCATGACCTGTCTCCACGATGGTCGCCAATATTTGCTTCCATTCCCTGGATTAGGATAGCCGAAGAACAAGTCCGCCCGACGCCGCTCCCACAGCACACCCACCAGCGCTGTCCACGCGTCCTCAAGGGACTGGGTCTCACTGTATGCCGGTATCACCTGCAAATACAAAAGGTACACCAAACCTGAAATTTTATCGACGGGATTCGTCGAAATGCGCTTCTGCATCTCGGCTAACACGTCAAACACATTTCCCTCGCTCTCCATGTCACGCAACGAAGACATCTCCTTCTCAAACCTTGCTCGCATCTCCTCTTCCAAGGCCTTGTCGTCGCCTGTATCCCCACCAATAATCGGATTCCTGTTGATCTCCTGCAACGTCCATGCGCGCCTAAACCAGCACCGATCACTCTCCAAATCGCCCCCCTTCAAGCGAAAAGGCCGTCCCAGCCCGCTAAAATAGCACACTACCTGATTGGCCCACCGATATACATATCCAATAGTGGGTACATCCACTTTCCACTCCTCCATGCGCAGATCCTCCCTCTGCCCGCCTGCCTGCCTCAAGCATAAAACGTCCAACCACACGTACTCCGCACCCAGATTCAGCATTTCGATCCGGATAAGGTCGAGATTCGCGTCCTTCGGGATGGGCACAGGCCATTCATAGCCATTAATGGGCGTCATCACATCCGCACGACCCTCTTCTTCTACCCACGCATGCGATATCCCCCACGGCCATTGGTGTGCGACTGACCATGATACCACCCTGTTGCTGTAAAGATCCCAGACACGCCGGGCAGGTACATGATAGGATACAATCTTGTTGTTCACAAGTACGTCTCTCCGCATACCCCCGTCCCGTGCCTCGCGTGTGCGTAGCTCGTCGCTGATGTTCGACAGGTCGAAGTACCAAAATCGGCGGAGACGGGCGTAGGCAGTTCCAAAGTCGTAGCCCCGGGCAATGTAGGTTTCAAGAAGAGAGGATATGGAAGGTTCTTCGTATGATGTGCCGAGGATAGTCATGAGCTTCTCCAAAAGTCCAGTAACGCCAAGTCTTGCGCAGGGAGTGTCGGCGAGAGAGGATGGTATAACAGGTCTTCTACCGGCGTAAGACCGTTGTTTCGGCACTGGAATGGACGATTCTGCTTGACGAGTCTCGGTAAAGGCAGAGATGGCAACCTCTGGGAGACTCTTATACATGACATCTACCTGTTTTGTAAGCAAAATGTTAGCGATTTTCTATCTGTTCATGTTTTCACAGGCTTACTTGTTCATTCCATCTGAATTCATGAATAGTATCATCATAATAACGACGGTCCCATTCCGTCCCATCCATTCCAAGTTTTCGTCCTCATGTTTGAATGAGAATATGAAAAATGATAATAATGCAACCACGCATACCCACTATTGCGACTCCTCGAGTTGGTGTGGTATCAAAGCCGTCGTCGCCGTACGCAGGGGATTTGAGGCGCCCCGTCCACGTGGCAGTAAACAAAAACAGATGCTGATAGCCCTGTCAACCATAAGCAATGATTCGCACCCTTTACGAGAAGAATAGAAAGACCAGTAGCAACGGGTTCATCAAAGAACAAGCGCGCAACATTCATGGGCTTCTCGGTGTGTCTCCCATCACAACCACCGCTCGGTTCAAACACTCTATCACCCCTGGTCCGGAAAATGCATAACGAGTATATTCACTCTATACCAGATCAAATGTAGTCTTCCTGCGAGCCCAAGTGCTGAGTATCTGTTGGAGGATAATCAGCTTAACAGGATTTATAAGAGGAAATCCTATCATCACCAGCCACTGCAACAGGATCCTGCGAGTATAAAAATCTAGCAAGAAGTGCATAGATAGACGATTCCGTAATTGATACTTGCGACGGGTCCCGTCCAATGGACAAAATCACAACTCACGATTCGAGCCTAGCGAGACAGTGATGGACATTATGAGTGTATGTAAGGTCCTTCACGTGACAGATATGCGATGACTGTCCAGATCGTCGGCACGAGAAAAGATGAAGATGGTAGTGAGAGAAAGAAGTCTGCGCCATGGCCATTTCGGTTATATTCACTAAGTACTGCTCCCCGCTACCTACGACCACTTCGTCGCAACGTATACCACCATTAATGGCTCGATGACGGTTTAGGAGGACGTTTGAGGCCCTAGCAGAGAGATAGCATTCACGGTAGCATTCATAGCCGTTTGTGGTCGATTTCGTGAGTGTTTCAACCCCATCGTGTAGCAGGTCATACCTTAGGGTCTTCATCAGAAGGAAGACACCTATCGATATGTGCTTACGGGAAGCTGGATCTGTTTTACTTGTAGAGCGAGTATATTTTCACCACAAGTGAGGCGTCGTAATGTTATGAGTGTAATTCTCCTGTTAACGTCTCTGCTTGTCATCTAGAATTCCTCTCTTTGTGTTCTCCTCTTCTCTGTCGTGCAGAGGCGACTACAGCAAGGCTGCCGGAGACGAACGGAACCCATAGAAGGATGATGGATGTCTATACACTCAGTCATTTCTGACTGAGTTGTGAGGATTGAACGACCGACAAATAGTCCACGGTTGGTGGTTTTTATGTGCCATAGGCAGAGCCGAAAAGGTCCCGGTTTTCAAAGGGGTTAATCGTACGTCCTACTTACCGTTCATTCTCTCGGGTCTTCAGCTTATTGCCTTCTTACAGGTACCGTCGAATTCCTTCAGTCCATTGCACCGATAAATGGACCATCTATGGTGCCCGCCCTTGACCTGCTGCAATTCCCATATTATATGCTGGCTTCGCCTTCTCTTCTAAGGGCTGTATCAACAAGGTTTCCGCGCAAGATATTCACCCAGCCTCGTCTCTATTACGTGACTCTTCTTTATCTCAAGCCTTTTCCCATCAGCACCGTCGGGCCTCTACTTTGCCCTTGTGTGTGACCGTCTTCGCATTTGATGTACAAGGCCAAGATCTTGAACGTCGGTCCCGATTTTCTACACTGGCTTTGACGTCGACCAGCACACTTTCCAATGTCAATACCCACCGTTGGCGACTGTCACTTGTTGTTATGGAACATATCCTCGCCCCTGGTATACCACTATCGATCCTGCTCATGCGCATATATCAAGACGAACCTCCGCATGGGCAAGACGTCCTGCTATTTCATCTTTCGGTGTCTCGCAAAAATAGCAATATCATGAAGTCTCTCAGCCATCGATGACCGGCTCAGCACGAAGGACCTTTGCTTTGACTTTGCCTGGTGGTATTTCCGTAGCATCAAGCGAATGTTGAAAGACGATTTTTTCTCCTCGAGATGTCATGTAGTACGTACTGTTCGGCGAATATTTCTCTGTCGTTCTAATTTTCTTTGTCCATATAGATCTCTACTACCAAATATCTCCCGCTTCCATCTACACTCTTCCCACTGCTCAGATTTCGCCGCCTCCGATGGCACATGCTCCAAATCTTTCAACCTATATTCTCCTGCCCGATATCTCCACCTGGTCTGCAATGTCATCGCGCCGTCCGAAAGTGTGAAATTCGGTTAGCTCACAGGCTAATACATGCCCGTCCTGGCCGATGTTCTCTTATGTCTAGACATTGCCGACACTTGTCGTCTGGTTGTGATCTTCTCATCGTTACATTTCAGATGCCGCGTGGAGGAGGGAGTAAACTTTTGAATCACCGTCTGATTGAGGTCGTGGAGCAGAGAATGTTATTGATTCTCTTCCCTTCCCTATTATCGAGTCGAAGCCAATCCTAGTCATCTCTCCAAATTGAATAGGTTTTGTGAGAGCTGAAAGGGAGAGATGCCTGGGCTACGGTATAGTGTTTGTGATTCTCTCAAATACGAGTAGTCGGGGTGTCCTTTGAATCAATATATAATCATGGAACGCTGAATGTAACTTGGATATAATAATTGGTAAACCCATTTACAATCGATGGAGCATACGTCTTCCTGTGTTATATATGAGCTACATGGCGTGTCCCACGACTTAAGCGCTTATATATGAGTAATACTTCGGATGTGCAGTCATTCCCACGCAGCATCCTTCAGACTCTTACTATCATCACATAGGTAGCGCCTTATTGTCAATGATCGCAAACCTCCAAACTGACATCTTGATTCTATATAGCTTTCTTTTGCGATATGAATCCCACTTGCCTCGTCTGCGATACTCCAACCAACAAGCGATGCGCAAGATGCAAGGGCGCCTATTACTGCAGTAAGGCGCACATCGCGCAGGTGCAGCTTTTCCTCATGTATTTTCCAGAATTTCTAACAGTGACTTTCTGCAGGACTGGCCCGCTCATAAAACGTACTGTAAAAGAGTCAGCGACGCGGGTACCGACACCTTTGATGCTATCCTCTTTGGCGTCAATGAAACAAAGCCCCGCCTTATCAAACTTCCTTGGTCGTACGGCCCCCTTGAACGCGAATTTAGCGGAGGGTGGCATAAGCTGGACATGGAGCCATGGTTCAAGGGAAAAGATTCTTTTGTCCGCACCCATTATGTTCAGACTTTCGGCACCAACGGACCAGTCCTTCGTCATACTCTTGCAGTGCGTTTCGACGATAACTTTATGATCAATGGCTCCCAGATAAATCGCTGCATTCAAAATGTTACTTCAGGCAATGCTGCGCATCCTTGGGCCGGAAACATTCTAGCCCTTAGGGTAGAGGGACTTGGATCGCCTTGGTACAGTGATGTGGTCATGGAGGAGGACTTGGCGCCATTGGCCAGGTACTTTGAGGATTGTTACAGGAAGTAAATAATGAGTTATAGCATATTGTCAATCCCCTTTGGACCTTTTCTTTTTCTTTTTCTTCCTGCTTCTTTGTGTATCTCATACATGCGGTAGTAGCGATCGCGTGCTATAGATCATTCTACAATATACATCCAATACCACCAAAATACGACACACCCATACTTTCATTCTTAATCGTAGTAGTGTTCGCGATTCGGAACATTGCGTGTATGACCTTTTCAATATCCTTGCGAGCTTTTACTTTCCTGAATTGTTTACGAGCTGCTGAATTGGGCGACACCTTGACACCTTAACACTCCATAAAATTGCTATCAATACTTCATCCAAAATGGATTAGGCATATAATACCACTGTATTATCCCTTTTCCCTTCAGTTAAGTATGACTCGCATTATCTCTATCAGGTACACTCACTGGAAACTTCTACAGAGAAAATTGCACATGGATCATGAAAACTGTCATCGACTTCATCCCTGAAATTTTGATAAGCTTAAGTTGAATGTGGGGATGAATTCAAGTATGACTGGCGTGGAAAGTCGTACTTCAAATATACATCATTTAAGCATACAGCTTGGAGGATAAAGGCTATTCATATTTGAAAACCATGTTATGAGACCTCGCAGAAATTGAAACATCAAAGGAGAATGAAAATGCCACTGGCTGTAATTCGACATTCTCTTTGCTGCGAGCGTCCTCTGGGTAAGCGGAAAGCGCTTCTCAGACGACTCGGTAGTGACCACACGTAAAATCTGAATCTACCGCCTCCTGTATATCAAGTGCCATCGGTTTCATGGTTAGCATGTTCATGACCACCCCTTCAATAGAACTAAAATCAAAGGGGAAAAAGTCAGACGCCACAATCCTGAGAGAAAACGACGAGCTGCAATAAATCTTGCAAGAGCAACGTCGCATCCTCCTTCTAACCAATGGGCTATATCTCCCCCAATAACGCAGAACGACCGTTTAGGCTGAGACACAAACAATATCTGATGTCCCAGAATCGCTTCCAGGCCTCAGAACCCATTTAGGCCTCTCGCGCGCATAGAACTGATTCAAAGCTCGGGACATTGTCGCGGTCTGGTTCGTACTGTCATCAAGCTGCTGGATTGGGATGCGCTTTTCTCTGGTAGAGCAAAGGGCGGTGTGGTAGCCATTGGTAAGGTAGAACTGCCAGTGTCAGAAGCCATGAGCGACAGAGCTATTGACCAGGCAAGAGAAAACAGAACCAAAAAAAAACTGAAAGGGAAAAATGATGGTTATTTGATCCGTTAAGATGTGGAAATGCCGGATCTCGATGCAGGTGGGTCGTTGGTGATGACGTCAAGCAAGTAAACGGGGCTGGATGCTGGCCGGATGTTGCCGCGTCCATTCTTCCTTCCGCCACCACCATCCCATTGTCGCTCCAAAGCTCAGAATATCCTTTGCCTCTGCTCTCTGTGCCACATTGTTTTTCGCTCTATCCATTCAGGATTGTGTTTTTTTGTGGATCAACTGGTATAGCACGCGTTGTTCGGTTGCCTGACCCAGCTTGACATCGACGTTTTTTTAGGTCTAGAAGTTATCGCTGAGATCCCGGTCGGTGTGGTTCGACAAGATAGATATGCGCGGTTACTCCATCAACTTCGTCTGCCTCACCTCTCGGAATCCTACTAAGCTCGCCAAGAATACGCTACTCCACAGTTGTGACTTGTTCCAATACAAGTTATGGTTCGATGACGATTCAGGAGGACTTGGGGTTGTAATGGGAAGATGGTCTTGAGGGTTGTGCTCATAGGGATTTGCCGTCGGTATGGCGGGTAGTTCAAGCTCCTCTTATGAGGCGCAGTAACTGACAGCTTTCAACAGAAGAAAGACAAGATGTGCTTACAGGCTACAGGCGTTCAATATGGGAGAAAGGGTAGGGATATGTTCACCATGTGTTAACCAGTGACCGGTGAGGCATAATTGTGCTCTAAGTATATTTCGTCTGCTGACGTTTCTGCCTGACTGCCAAGATTTCTTTTTTTTGTGGTGCAAAGGCGACCACCGCGAGGCTACCCGAGACGAGAAGCACCGATGGAAGAATTCGGATGTCTATAGTCGTTCTAATTGTGTGGTGGAAACTGATGTGTTGATGATGGTGATTTTTCCACGGCGCAGGTGAAGTTCATTAATTCCTTACAGATGCTATCAGATCCCTTCAGTCCATTACAATTGGACCGTCTAGAGTGCCCTCCTACCTCGTTGTGTATGCCATCTTCGCCATCTCATCGAGTTCATCCCAATTGCTGTATCGCCAACGTTCAGTTCACGTCAGTGTTTCCGCAAAATATTCGATCTCGTACTCCTTTCGATCTATCTCTATCTTAAACTCTTCGCCATCAGAGCCGTCGATGTCTTCCTACGCCTTCACGTAGCGCAAGCCACTTTCGAAGGGCGAGTCTCGCCATTTGCAACTACCGGTTGTGGTATGGGTTATATCCTTCCCACGGGCCTGTCATCGATTATCCCTTCTCGCTTATGTGCATACACAAAGACGAGCCTCCATGCAGCCACACACGGGCTTGTCTTATCGATGCTTGGACCTTGCCGCTGGTACTTCCGTGGTATCAAACCAATGTCAAATGGTTGTTTTCGCTCTCCAAACAGCGGTACCGTGCATACTGTTTCCCCGATCTTCGAATCGTGCGTGCTAATATTCTTTTCCCATTAGGTAACTATTACCAAACACTCCCACTTCTATGTATACTATTCATACCACCTGGATTTCATCGCCTCCATGCTCCAAACTTTCAAGCATCTACATGATATTGCCGCTTGCCTTTCGTTGGGCCCTCCTGATCTCTATGTGTATTTGCATCGCTACTCTCGTTTCTCTCTCCATAGTCATCACAGATCACTTTTATGCGGTCACTCCAATTTCCTTCAGCATTGCTACCGAACAAGGATCCTCGTGCATAGATCCCAGGGTATTTCGGGATTGATGACGTGGCGGTTGATCAGTGCAAGGATGATGGAGGACAGGGAGGATATAGGACGATAATGAGTCAACGAGCGGGGCTGATATCGACGTGGGTGTCCGTCAGACTGCGCGTTAGGTTTGGAGTGAAAAGCGTGCTTGATGGCTTTGCGCGCGCGAAGGGAACGAAACAATGTCACAGCAAATGGCCCTATCGAGGATGATCGGTCGGACCTCCCTCGGATTCGGCCAACGTTGATATCAACCATTTTTTAGGATGTCCAATTTGCGAAGGGAGTTCTCCTATTTGAAGTCCTTATACTGCGGCAGCGCGTCAGTACCTTCCCTCTTTTGTCGCAATCCCCGAATAAGCACGACGGCTCTCACTTCAGCTGAAATGCTCACAATGCAATTCCGATGCGCACCAGGGCAGAAAAGAGACGCAGTTCAATGAAGGTTCCAAAGGCCGAGAACTTGGACACATCTATCATATCAGGGTAAGCCATCTATTTAAGCTGAAAGTCTGCTCACTGACGTTTCTGCTCATCGATGTAGACAAGAGCTATCTCATTTGAGCTTTGTGGCTATTTCATATGGGGTGCAATTTTGGCCCAAGGCTGCTCAGTCTGGGGAGATCGAAGTCTATTAAACGTCCTGCATTGACGAACCAGTCTTCGGATGACTCCGTACTGGGGCAGTTATGGGGTGCCAGATGGTGATTGAGGGACGCCATCCTTCTGCGGTGCGCACTGAGCCCAGGAGCCGAAGTTCCGGTTCTTCGGTCTGGTTAATTTTGCGTATTATTGTTTCTCTGGGTGGCTTCGAGCTTATGGCTCCTAGACGTTCAGTCCCGAGACTCCGGTGGACCATATCAAAATTTACGTCCTAATCAGCACCTGATCTTTGGATCAACACTTTTGGTCGCTTTCTATTCATGTCATGCATGGCGTTTGCTGTAGCGCTCAACATCGATTTGACCGTCGAACACCGAATTTTCGTTCCGATATCACTCCTCGTGGTTCACAGGAAATGTTCTTGACGACCTCAGCTCTCTGCTGCTGGAAGCCTTCTCCAATGAACCGCAGAAAGGTCGAAAACGTCTATGTCGTCATTGACACCGATATCGATGACGTGATCGGCATGAGAGGCAGAAATTCAAACTTTGATTTTGAAAACTGTCCCGTCACATCTTCAATTGCAACTACCATGGCCCCGCTCACTCATCCCTCTATCCAAGGCATAATTCCTTCAGTCTCCCCAATAAAGGTATTCATTGTTTTTTTACCAGATGGCTGGTTCGGTAGCGGTGGTGGTGTCGTTCGAGAAGTGTTAAAGCACGACTCGGTTACGGAGGTCGTTCTCTGCGATATCGATGAGGTACTTTGCGCGCCGTTTCGCTAATGTCATACATGCTGAATGTTTTTGTAGGCTATGATCCGAGTATCCAAGCCGTACCTTCCCCGTATGTCCTGTCTTCTTTCGTCTCCCAAGGTGACTGTTTTCATCGGGGATGGTTTCAAGTTCCTGGCTGAGCATAAAGGTCGCTATGATGCCATTATCACCGACTCTTCGGATCCTGTTGGTCCTGCTGTCTCTCTTTCAAAAGCCCTACTTCCAGCTTTTCCACGACGCCCTTGCTCCTGGTGGCAGGATCTGTACCCAAGGAGAATGTCTTTGGTTGCACTTTCCACTCATCTCCCAGCTTATATCAATGACACTCGAGATTTTTCCTGTCTCCCAGTACGGCTACACGACCATCCCCACCTACCCTTCTGGTCAGAGAGGCTTCATAGTCTGTTCCAAGGAACCTGATCGTGACTTGAGCAAGCCCCTGCGTAAGCTCAACGATACGAGGTATTACAACAAACTATCCATACGTCTGCGTTCGTCCTCCCTAAGCTTGTTAGCGTCCTTCTTTCCAAGGGCAAGAACATATAACCTAAGTTTGGTCGTGAAGCACTTGTAGCTGCGAATGTGAATAAGCAATCGTGTGGACTGGACTTGGAATGATCCGGCTACGTGTCTGTGGGGCGTACATTGAAGACTATCGCAGCTCTGTTGGATGCTCTCGCTCCATGCTCCGAAGGAATGGTGTATACCGGTGAGAGTCTTCCTTTCATGCTCATTCGAGGTCCTAAATACAACCAGGATCGTGCCCTCAACGATGACAAGACCAATTGCTCTGTATCAGCAAATTAAGCTCTAGGCATCCACGTACTCCCTCAAATGCAATACTGGGATATTTGTGAAGAGCAGACTGAAGGCATGGTGACCGATGCCGGTCAACCGACCAGCAATAAGAGATCAGGAAGTTGAAGCAGTAATGGATATGGTGGTTTCGTTTTTGCGGTAGTGTTTGTTTTTCATATTTGGATATTTGGCAGGACAGACGAATTGTTCCCTACTTCATTAACCGGTTTGTTGGCGAGGATGATCGCTGGAAACTTGCGAAAGCCTGTCATGATGTATACGAGTCGCCCGGGGAGACTGACTTGGTCGTGTCGATGATGCTACCGGTGAGTATTGCTCGTTTATCTATAACTTCCTCTGATCCGAAACTGCGGCTAGGTCGTATGATTCCACCTGGTTGCCAAACTGACCACGGAGTTACTCAACGAAATCTTCAAAACAAAAAACGCACGTTCGGCAAAGTTTCATCATCGACTACATTTTTCGTCATCACCTTGCTCCCTTCGTCCTCGCACCAATCCCTTCCCTCTTTCTGTTAACTACCAGTAGATCCGCTAACGTTGGCAGTGGGCTCTTTGGTACGGGAATCGCAGGACGCTGTTCAATCCACGGCCGTTCATCGGGTGGATTGGGCTCAGGGGTGGACATCGGAAGGTTGGATGTAGGTGGTTGGCCGGTGGTTACGACAATGATTGTATCTTGGCTAGTGGCCGTGGGCATGCTCGTGGAGGTATGGAATCAAATTTTCGCGGGCACGGTTTGCTGACTGTTTATCAAGGATGCGGCGACCAGATGCATGGATCGTCACGACGCAATACGTGCGCAACGCTTCAGGTTCAAGGATCGCGGCTTCGAGGACGTTGAGATTGTAGGCGGTTGTTGGTCCAAGATTCAGATTTGCCTTGATCTGGGCCACTAGTGTTGAGATCAGGTTGTGTAGCGCAGCGGGAGGAGCCAGGTCTGGAGTCGAAGGTCAAAAGCTTGGAAGCGCTGACCTTCGATCTCCAGTATTGGTAGCTACAATTATGTAATGTAAGAGCAACATGGAGGGTGTTCTACTTCAACACTCCCTCTTGATCAAACATGTCTACAGAGGTATTGAGACAAGTCCGAGTAAGGTAATCATGTGCCTGAGCTTCTCTCTTCCCAATCCCTTTGTCAAGGCATCGGCTGGCATATTGTCAGTTTGTAAGTGGGCCACATGGATGCACCCCTTCTCAACTTCATTGTGCAGCCAATAGAATTGAAGGTCAAGGTGTTTAACCTGGCCATGATATTCAGGGTTCCAATGTAAGGCTAGCAAACTCCCTGGTATGAGAAATATGTGTCTGCTCTTGCAAGTTCTTTTGTAATCACAAGGGGAAAATACAGCAGCTCATTGGTAGAATGAGCCCTAGTGTCTGCCTTGAGGCAGATGGGCAGGACATGAGTGGGATGTAGAGGGATAAGGTAGAAAATCTGAGGATGACTCCAAGCTGTCTGTTTGTGCAATACCAGGCTCAAAGGCTTTTAAGTATGCTTATGGCTTTGGTTTGTTGGAGACTAGCAGAATTTTATTCCTTGGCTTTGTACTGTAAAGTTGGTCATTGTTCTATCTACAAGGTTATCCCTTAAATATCAAGATCCCAGAAGCCTGCCTCCTTATCAGCTGTGGCTCCTATGCATGTCCAGACCAGCAGGGCACCACCAATCTGCTCAGCAGGTCCACTATCTGTGAGCAAATCAGCTACACCTTCCATATCTGGTGCCTCATCAAATAGCTTTATAAGGCTATCCATGCCCAATCCATCTCTGATCAGATGAAGTATCCCTTGTGTGCATGCTCCAGCTGATAGGCATCTGCTTCTAAGTGCTACAGTTGCTCATCAGACACAAAGGGGGTGGACAGCAGAAAGCCATGTGTCATTATATTGTGGGTTGTTGATCACACAGCAAATCCCTGAGCAGGTCATGTCAGTGCTCCATTGCTTGAGCCATAGTGGGGGAAATGGTTTCTTGTTTTGAAGGCAGGATGATGCTCACTGCTCAGCTCTCTTGATGCTCTGGTGGATCTAGAGCCAGGGAAACTGAAATTTGGTGCCCATGAGCCTATGGTGCAGCACACTAAGTGACTGATAGAGCAGACTCATTGTCAATATAGAGTACTGAAACATTGGTGAATGAATAGCCAAACTCTGTGAACAAGTTGCAAAGCCAAAGGATTTCCTGACCAGCAGATACAGCCAAAATGTATTCTGCCTCTGTCATCAGGAGTGTCACAAATGCCTGAAGACAACTCATCCAGCTAATGGCTCCAGTCCCCATTTTGACAATGTAGCCACTTGTGGAATGCCCACTATCTTTATCTCCTCTATGATCTGCATTGCAATAAATCTTGAGGTTGAAGGCTGGTGAATCTGACTTAGAGTTGGGAGAGCAGACAATGTGATAGTCAACTGTGCTCTCAGATAGCATAGAAGCTGTTTGAGAGCTTCCCAGTAGGCTGTGCCAGGGTTTTTGCTGAATTGTGAGAGTACACTCACAGGATAGACAACATCAGGCCTGATAGCAATAGCAAGGTAGGCCACAGAGCCAAGCACATTCAGATATGGGGTTGTCCATATTGTCTCATATTCCTCTGGTGTTTTGAGAGACTGATCTGCTGTAAGTTTTATGTTTGGATCCAAAGGTGTCAGAACAGGGTTGCAGTCAGCCATTCCTGCACATTGCAGAATGTCTAAGATGTATTGGCACTGGGAGAGAGAGTGTGTTTGGTTGGCTCGGTCATGCTTGATCTTGACACCAAGGAGGTAAGATGTTGGACCCAAGTCTTGAAGCTTGAAGTGCTTCTTGAGATCATTGATGACCTTTGCAACACCATCTGGTGTCTTTGTGGCAATGGTCATATCATTAACAAAGACTGAAATGATGATATGTTCACTATCCCTCTTGTAAACTCAGACACTAGGCTCACATTTCATCTGTTCAAAACCCATGGCATTGATCAATGTCACATGTAGCTTTTTGTGCCATTCTCTCCCAGCTTGCTTTAGTCCATATAGAGACTTAAAGAGGTGTCAGACTCATTCTTTCTCCTCAAAATCTTCTGGCTGTTCTATGTACACCTCTTCTGTCAGCTCACCATTGAGAAATGCTGATGAGATGTCAACATTCCATAGCTCTAAATCCTTAAGAGCACCAAGTGCCAGAACAACTTGTAGAGTGGCCTATTTTGGTGTTGGAGAGAAGGTTTCAGTGTAATCAAAACCAGATCATTGTGAGTATCCCTTTGCAACTAGCCTTGCTTTATGGTGCTCAATTGATCCACCAGCATTGTATTTCACTTTGAATATCCAGTGACTCCCAACTGCCTTTTGATTTGAAGGGCATTTCACCAATTCAAAGACACTATTTTCAACAAGTGCTTGTATCTCTTGCATGGCAGCTTCATACCAACTTGCAGCTTCCTCTGGAGGATGTTTCATAGCTTCATAAAAGGATCTAGGTTCACCATTATGTGTGGATGTCTTGTAAGCTGTTTCTGTCATGCTCTCAAATACAACTTCCAGTCTTTTCTCTATTGTCAAGTGTTCTATTGTCTGGCTGGAGAAAGCTATGCCTTCAAGAATAGTTTTGTCTTCCATAAAGGCTGTGTGTGCTTGATCCTCTGCATTTCTTGCATGATCATCATTGTTGACATTTCAGTGCATTCCACAGCTATAACCAGGGCTGGGATCATATGGGCCATCATCATGTATTCTGTATTCATGTTTGCCTAGGTCTGTTGGAGGAGATGGTAATGGTGATGGAGTTAGGTCTGGGAGAGATCTATTAAATGGTGAACCAAGAGTGGTTATAACATCATAAAGAAGAGGTGATACTGGAGGTAGTGGACTTAGAGAAGATAAGGGATTCAGTGCTGGAGAATTTTCTGGAGATGGAAGATCATCATTGTTGAGGTCTCCCTCTTGATCAGGCAGCATAGGAGGATCTGACAGATTTGAGAGTGAAGAAAATAGATCACCAAAGGGGTTGATAAGGGTTTTTGTATTTCTTGGAAACACCTGCTGAAGAGGTTCTGCATGTGTGGAAGGTGAAAATGGATACAGTAGAGTGCTATCCACTGATCACACTCACACCAACACACACACAATACTCTTAGTTCATGGGGGGATTATAATGTGATAAAAGTAGTCACAGCAAATCTAATTGTCTTCTTTAATGAATCTACAGCACACAAATAGCAATAGCATGCATACAACAGTCCTAGGTCTCTCTAAGTCTCAAAGCTTTTTGTTTTATCAGAACAAGAGGTGGCAACAGATGTTGCTGGGCCTCAAGGCAAAGGTACTGCAGCTCAATACAATACATCAAAACACTGCCACAAAACTCTCAAAATGGTTCCAAGCACAGCCCAGATCAAATCAAAATTTCTAACACACACAATACATGACTCAAAGCTTAGTGCTCTAAGCAGAAACCAATCACAAACACATCCACAAGTGTCAAAGAGCTCAGATCTCTGTACACAAGCTTCCAAACTAATTGTAGACCTATGGGATTCAAACCTATATGATTTAGAGACACAAAACACAATAAAACACCATCCAACAGATCCAAAGGGTTTGAACCTCTGCCATCTGTAGTGCCCTTCAGACACTACTCTCTTATTCTCAGATTAGAGCACTATTCAAAACCTCTTATCAAATCAAACTGAAGTCCCTCATGAGCTTCTGTGTCTTGCTTAGTTCTCAATTCTCTCTGAATGATATCAATAAGAAGTTTATTCTCTCACCCAAGATTATAAACACAAGCCCAGAGCTAGAGTGCAAGGCTTTCTATGTCCAATACATCATGTCTGTGGAGGGTTGGAAACTTCTATTCTACTCATACAATGTGGTATTTAAATACTTTACTGTGGTACTTACTAATACAATCCTATTATAGTATCTTCAAAGCATGGGACTCTATCCCAGATCATGTGATTATTTGTTATGATTTTTCTCATTTTCTTTCATATTAACCCTTATTTATGCTTAGTCAGAGCACCTAGACCAGCACTTAGGACAGTGGGACTGGCTTAGTTATCACAACAAGCCCAGTCAGTCATTGCCTTTTGATGCAACAGCATTGCCCAATGATGCACAATAAGACTTTTGTAGATAGTAATGACACTCAAGGACAAAGAGCACAAAGAGCACAAAGGACATAATAAGTAGTAGTATTTATATTGCTATGAATGAACTGTATATAAAGAGGATAGCTCTTACTGGTATAACCCCAGCTTTGAGCTAAAGTTTATTCACACTACTTCATTCTCAAGCCACTTGTCTTCAGTCTTGAAAGCACACTAGTCAACAAAGCACAATAAGTGGACTTAGGCATTACACAATAAGCATAAAGGAAACTGAATGCAACTATCACAAACTACAACCTCCAATCTCACTGATGACTTTTTTAAACTTTTAGCTTTCATCATTGGAATGCTTCTAGGTTTATTAGCAATCATCCAACTTTATCAAGGCTGAAAATCAGTAGCAGCATGGGTAGTCAGGCACTACTAAGCTTTTTAACAGGTACAACAAATTTTGCACAATGTCACTCCTGACCTCTCCTTCTATGACATTGCTCCTTCCACCAGAGTCTCCTTCCAGCCTCTGCTTGAACCTATACCCCAAACCAAGTTTGAGGGAATGCATTCAAGGAGCACTCAAGAAGAAGAGAGATACTGATACCTCTCTAGACCAGCCAGAACAGAGCACAGAAACCAGGACAATTGACTCACAGGTTTCAGAAACCTGTGGGTCCTGCTGGGGTTCTCTCCAGTCCCAAACAATGAGGACTAGGATCTCCCCAATGACTTCTCTAATGACTCCCCATCTCCTGATCATTCTACCACCCCAATTGAGTACAGCATTGGAAACTGTGCTTGGGACTCCATTGATGCTATTAGGGTGGCTCTAAGATCCTGACCCATTTTGCCTGCAGACTCCAGACACAACTCCTTATATGCAACCTCAGAGTTGAGCCTGAACCCCTCCCAGGGTGAGGACCTATACACCAAAGATATGGAGCCAGAAAGAGGGCATTCATCCTGGAGATCAACCATCTAAGATGTCATTGACCACTTTTTCAGAGACTTCACAGAAGCAGAAATTGATGCAGCTGGAGAAGAGGTTGATCTTGAGTGGGCCAAAGCTGAGCAGGCCCAATGACAGAAGTTACATGATGAAGAGCAGTACATCCACTAGTTTAGACAGTGCCAATGAGAACTTGAAGCAGCTACATGGGGACCAGCAAGCTCTATATGATATAGATTATGAACAGAGTCTGAGCCCTCCCCCTTCTGAGAGCCCAGCACCCCTGCCAGTACCAACCTATGGGCAGGGTTGGCTGAAGCTATTACCACTAGTGAGGCAAGGTGGCATGGTGATTCCCTTACCAAAAGAGAGCCCAGTAGCTCCACCATCACTGACACAGATATAATCCCTTCTCATACTGACTCCATACTTGACACCTATGGGCTTTGAGTCCCTCTCAATGCCCACATCTCTGACTGGGGACTCTGAAAATTCCTTGGAGGAAGAATCATGGCTCTCTTCCTCAACCCACAATTTTATTAAAACTTCTGCCAATATTGCCACAAACTGGAGGAGTGCTGAGCTCAAGGCAGCCATAGAGACAACAATGGGATTGGAGCAGGACCTGTTGAGCAGCCTCCTGCTTGGTCCAGTCTTACCACCACCATTAATGACAACAACCAGCTTCTCAGCAACCCTTCAGCTGCAGGATCCTCCAATCTTTGACCTGCATGATGACTATCTCATTGAGGACAGCAAGGAAGAGGAGAATGAGAATGAGGACATAGAGAGGATCCAGGATATCCCTCTTAGATAGAGACAATGGGAGTACTCAGACAAAGAAACAGATGAAGAAGCACTGGCTGAGGAGATGCAATAAACAAGAGAGAAGGAATACAAAGGACTGTACAGGGAGAGATTGTCCTTCCTGTAGAGGGACACTCAATGGTTAGCCTCAGACATGGAGCAAAAGCATATTCATTCAGACAATGATGAGTGGCAGGATATTTTACAATATTCTGCCACTAAATATGCAATTGACAATTATAACAGAAGGCATCTGGAGGACCATTTCAGCAAGCTGCTGAGATACAAATCAAAGTACAACATCCAGCTGATGCCATGGATCCCATCCACCACTCTGAAACAAGCTGTTTACATGGCTCCATCAATTCAAACCCACTAAAGCTGATACTCCTACACCATACCATTGATCCAGTCCTCAGCAACTCAGCTCTCTTGCTCCTGACCCCAGCTGACCACCTGATCCACTGGATTCTGAAATCCTTAGACCAGCAAAGGTTGTCAACTTCTCAGTGGACAGCCACTGTCAGATAAGGCTGAAGGCAGTGGGAAAGAACCCATCAAGGATGATCTCAAGGCCATTCACCTAGGATTTACCATGTAAAATAAGATAATCATATGGAAGAAAGTGGCATCTATGGGAAGTCCCATCACAGATGACAGCTCTCTCCATTCATTTTCTGGACTGTCTACCAAATGGTGGTGTCTGCCTTTTGATCAATGGCCCAACCCCATGGGGCCCTTACCATAGAATGCTGCCATTCTCCAATGCAAGGCTGACCTACTTCAAAAGCCTCAACCATTTAAGAGCACATCTGACAATATTGATCAATTTCTAATAGACTGAAAACAATACTTGGAAGTCTACATTGCCTATCTCAGGACTGATATAAACAAGATCACATTTGCCTCATCCTACCTTGAATACAAGGCCAAAATATAGATTCTAATTTCCCCCAACTTCTATTTGACCATCAGACAGCATCATTGACTGCCATCATGGCCTGTATTCAAGCAAATGCTTAATGACAAGTTCATTGATCTGGCCATACAAAAAGTATACAAAGCTAAGATCAAGGAGTTTAAGATGGGAGACAAGGTCACCATGAAATACTTCAATGAATTGGAATGGTTAGCCAAACTTGCCAGGATCCAGGATGATATTGCAGATAATGGAAGGATGGTAGAAGCACTCAAATGAGGGGCCCCATCATCCTGAAGGAATATGATGAATAAAAGGAACAGGTCACCAAAATGCACAAAGAGAGGCAACAACAAAAAGTGGAACAGGCCAACCTACAGGAGTACCAGAAGCTGAACCAGCCATTGACTTTGAATCAGAAAACTGGCAGTCAGGCTGGTGCCCTCAAGACAGAGACTTCATTGATGACTAGCACCCCCTCATACAGAGCTCAGAAGATGGGAACTGAGGTCACATATACCAGAGCCAGGAAGCCAATGGATATCAACTGCCTCAAAAAGGAGGGAAAATGCTTCAACTGTGGCCAGAAGGGCCACATGTCATAAGACTGTCTGAAGAAGAAACAGACACATGGGGACATTCAGACACAAATCACTGAACTGCAAAAAGAGGCAGAGGAACTCAGCATGGAGACAAAGGTTGAAGAGGTAAAAGATGGGGCTGACTAGAGAGTGATTTCACTAGGTTGGATGAAGAACTTTATGGTGTGCCCCAAACAGCTGCTGGATGGACTGATAGTACTTCTGTAGCTACTCATATGTCTAAATTATACATGCATTTGAATATACCCAAATCCTCCACCACTGTGCACACTATCAAGAAATCACCCATTATAAAAACTCAACTGTCTATAGGTCAAACAGAGAGAGAGAGACCTCCACTAAATGGCTTAAGCCATTTGATACTGAGTGGACCTGGAGAGCCATTAAGGATGCCCAGTCAGAAGAAGAAGCCAAAATAGTACTCAAAAATTGGATACATAAGATACAAGCTAAAGAAGTAGTAGACAAAATGATTGAAGGCATGAGGAAGGTGGAATGCTGCTAAGCACTAGAGTGGCTCAATGAACTTTGGGGCTCTAGGCAATATGTCAGAAGGGCTAAAACACCAGGATGAGACTTAACCACTAAGGCCCAGATTGAAACTCTCACCAATCAGTCAATCCATGCCATCACAGTATTAATTGACAGTGGCTGCACTGGTAGCTTGATAAACTATGCTTTTGTTGACAAGCACAATCTTCTGACCTGAGCAACAGCTGCCTCCATCCCAGTATATAACACTGATAGCACAAGAAACCAAGCTGGCTTGATTACCAAGTTTGTCAAACTTTAACTTACTATCAGCAATCACTTGGTGAGGATTGATCTAGTGGTCACCAATTTAGGAACCAAAGAGGTATTTCTGAGTCATAACTGGCTGATCTGACATAACCCCCTGGTAAACTGGAAGACAGGACAAGTCACCTTTGCATGATGCTGTTACAATTTTCTACTCTTTTTTCTTTTATTCTTTTCTCTTATCCCTATTCATGCTTAGTCAGAGCATCTAGACCAGTGCTTAGGACTGTAGGACAATCTTAGTCAGCACATCACTATTGTCTCACAATGTAGCAATGCTCTAACAACAAGACAATCTCCCTTTTGTAGGTAACTACAACACCCTAGGACAATGAGTACTATAGCACAAACACTCACAATTAGTAGCACTATATTTATCTAGGAGATGAATGGTATATAAGTAGTGTAGCTAACACCATGTATCTCTAGTCTCAAACTATCCTTTATCCTACTGCTTTACTTGAGTCAACTAGTGTTGATCTTGGGATATAATATCTTTAAACACACTAAAGTAGACTTAAGCATGATTGTACAAATATGATACAGCACTTATTTATCACATGTTATCAATCACCTGTCACTCAGGCCTAACAATTAGCTTGAGACTTCTATTTCCCTTTTTTTATCTCTATCATGAGTGAAGAAGACTGAATGCTGTTATGATTTTTCCTCCTTTTCTATGATTTAACCCCTATTTTATGCTTAGTCAGAAGGCATAGGACCATGGGAGGTTTAGTCATCACAACTAACTTGCCCATCAAGTTGACTTAGACAACGATGCTCGACGATGCACAACCATCCTTTTATGTATAACAAAGGAGCTCAAGGACAACGAGCACCATGGACACAGATAAACACAATTAGTAGGAGTATTATTAGTATGACCTGTACAATATTTAAGACTCACAGCTCTCGCTGGTATACCCCAGCTTCGAGCTAAAGTTTATTCATACTATACTCATTCTTGAGCCTACTTGTCTGTGCCTTAACTGCACAAAGCATTGGTATCACTGGACTTGATCATTATACCTGAACATGAGGTATCGATCATTTATCATGTGTTACTAGTCACATGTAACTTGAGTCTAACAATTAGCTTGAAGCTGCTTCTTTCCTTTCTCAAGCCCAATTGTGCTGAGAAACTGAATGCCTCCTGCAACTTCCACTGACCTGAATTTTGACCATGAGTTCTTTGAACTCCTCTCTTTCATCATCAGAACACTGATAGGACTTTTGGTGATCATCCAGCTGTGCTGGAGACACCACTCTATCACTGCTTGGGCCCTTAGACATTACCACAAATTTCTATGTATCTGAGAAATCTTATGAAACGTAACCCCCAACCTTCCTCTCCATGACATCCCTGACTCCAGACGAATGACCTACCAGCCCCCAGAAGCCGGGCCTAGTGGCATGCATCTGAGGAATGGTGAAGAAGAAGTGGGAGGACAGCACTCCCCCTGATCCAGAAACACAGATGCTAGCGTCTCAAGAAGGTATGGTATACTTGTACTAGGACCAGCTCCCAACCATGAAGATGAAGACATCCTGAAAGACTTCTTCCATCAATCTCCCTCTCCCGATTCTGCCTCTCTGACCCCTGGGGTTGCTAACTATGCCAGGGACTCTCTTGATGCCCCTCAGATGGCTTGAGGATCTGGCTCCAGAACTTCTTGAGGCCAATCTTGCAGCCCCTGTCCCACCTCCAGAACTGGCTCGAGGGTGGGAGTCTCCCCCTCAAATGACAAAGAAGAATGACGATGAGTATGGGAAGAAACTGTCCATCAGTACTTTCTGACTTGGGACTTCTCCATCCCTTTCAACAATGATGACGCTGTTTGACAGGAGGAGCACAGGAGGTGGGATGAGCTGCAGCCAGTACGTCATGAGTCAGAGGAGTGGCAGTGACAGGAGGCCATGCAGTATGACGAGCAGCATAGGAACGAGCAGAGAGAAGTGGAAAGGGCCAGATTCAAAGCAATCAACACTGGCAACTGGTATGGGCTACATCCCGAAATCACCACTGTTCTCACACCTGTACAAGCCAACCCTGCTTCCACCCCTTCCCCCATTTTCAGAGAGCCCAGCACCCTGAGCAGTGGATTCCCAGAGCACTGGGCAGACAGAACTAGAACTCAATGATATCCAAGGGCTCTATCCCCTGAGTATCCTCCCTCCTCCCGCACCCCTAGTGTTGACACTGCTTTCAGAAGCAACGAGTCCATCCTGGAACACTATGGACTATGAGTCCCCAGAACTGCTCACATCTCCGCCTGCTCCCTCCGAGGTTTCCTCAGGAGTTGAGTTGTCAGGCAACTCATCAATGACGACTACTGACACAATGTCCACCTCTATCACAAGCAAGTAGAGGTGGCAAGAGCAATAGGGGGAAATTGCTATGACTCATCTATCGGAAGCAGATCTGCTGCCAACTATGAAGTCACTGCAACCGCTAGGCTGAGTACCCAGCCAGAGGAGCAAAGTGACGATCCTGCAAGAGGTCGAGGAGAGTATTTATGCCCAGCCCATTGGTTCCCTCCTAGAGGAGGAGGATGAGGACATGGAAGACAACACTGAAAGCAGTGGTCTGCCTAGGGGACCACCATACGACTCATAGGAAGAAATGGATGAACAAGAACTGAAAAGGCTGATGCAGGAAGAAAGAATGCAGGAGTACCAAGGGTATTACCTGCAAGGGGTAAATTTTCTATGGTGCAACACTGCATGGGTAGCATCAAAAATTGGACAATTATATTTATATTTGGAACCTGACAAATGAACAGAAATCTTAAGGTGGGCAGCGACGGACTATGCAGCCCAACAATACAGCCAAAGACATCCTGAGTACCCGATAAGCTGACCTCCAGCCTATTCAGCCACTTCAATTATTCAGCCAATGCCAAAAACCCCTCTCGTCATGCTACAAAGAGCCGTGTATTGGGCCTCTTCAGCCTGAAGTACATTTTCCAGCTCTGACCATTCCTCTATGATAACGGCAGCATGGCTGGCCCAAACCTGAGCATGGCTGAGAACAGGATACAGAAATCCATGGGTCGGCTCAGGGAGTAGACTCTTAGGGGGGCAACCACCCCCCGAACAAGCAGAAACTAGCGGTGCCAGAAAAGAACCCATATGGGATGACCCTGAGGCAACCCACCTTGGATTCACTGTCTGGGATGGGGTCATCATCTGCATCGAAGACACGAAAGGAAGCCCCATAGCAGATGACCACTCCCTCCACTCATTCCCCAGGCCGCCAACAGAATGGTGATAACCACCATTCGATGGCTGGTCCAACCCAATGAATGCACTGTCAGAAAATGCCAATGTCCTCCAATGCTGCTCTGATCTGCTCCAGAAGCCCCGCCCTTTCAAGGGGGCATCTGATAACATCAATCGGTTCCTCATGGATTGCGAACAATACTTCAAAGTATACATGGGATACCTAGGGTCAGACATGAACAAGGTCGCCTTCGCCACTTCCTATTTGGAAGAGAAGGCCAAGACATGGTGGATCCTGATCTCCCCAAACTTCCGATCAAGCATGTGGGATCACTACCGATATCCCTCATGGCCCGTATTCAAACGTATGCTGAATGACAAGTTCATTGATCTAGCAGTGCAGGAGGTGCATAAGCAAAAGATCAAAGAGTACAAGATAGGAGATAAAGCGGTGACAGATTACTTTGACGAGCTGGAGAGACTTGCTAAATTGGCTGGAATTTGAGATGATGTGGCCAATGATGGGCAAATGGTCGAAGCCCTCAAGAGAGGAGTCCCCTCTTCATACCTCACAATGATCTCTGCTGTGGGCATCAAAATGTTGATGCCAGTTGGGTATGAGCAATGGAAAGAAAGGATCATTGAGATGTACAAAGAGTGGCAAAGGCAGAAAGCAGAATTGTCCACTTTACAAGATTACACCAAGAAGTCGACCCCACCAACCCTGAACAAGTCGAGGCAAACTGTCGGGAAACCATCAGGACCCTCAATGGCCACAACCTATAGTAGCCAGAAGACTGGAACCGGCACCACATATACTGGAGCTGGGAAGCTGATGGATATCGACAGAATGAAGAAGGAAGAAAAATGCTTCAACTGCAGTCAGAAGGGACACATGGCCAAGGACTGTCCCAAGAAGAAATGCACCTGCAAAGATATACAGGCATAGATAGCCGAGTTACAGAAGGAAGACAAGGAACTCAGGAAGGAAACAAAGATCGAGGAGGTAAAAGACGGGGCCAACCAGTGAGCGATTCCACTGGATCAGCCAAAGGACTTCATGGTGTGCCAAATTTAGCCACTAGTTGGACTTATGATACTTCTGTAGTTACACCTATGTTACCACTACACATGCATTCAAATATACCCTGATCAACTACCATGCACACCAACGAATCGCAAAAGGAAACTCAAATACCTATAGGCTGAACTGGGGCAGTGAGCCTCTCAAACTGGCTTAAGCCATTCGAAACAGAATGGACCTGGAGAGCCATCAAAGAAGCAACTAGTGGCAGTGCAGCAAAAGCCACATTGGGAGGGTGGATACACCATTCCTGAAGAGAGGAAGTAACTGATGAAGTGGTGGAAGGACTCAGGAACACCAAAAGGAGTCGAGGCCTTGAATGGCTCGACCAGTTACATGAACCTCATCAGTTCGTTTGATACACTAAGACATCTGAAAGAGATTTAACAACAAAGGTCCAAATTGAAACTCTCACTACTTGGACCACGTATTTGGCAACTGCCCTAATAGACAGTGGGTGCACTGGGAGTTCAATAAACCATGCCTTCATCATCCAGAATAAACTCCCGACCTGATCCACAGCCACCCCCATTCCAGTCTACAATGCCGATGGAACAAAGAATCAGGCTGGCTTGATTACTGAGTTCGTCGAACTCCATTTAACCATCGGAGACCACTTCAAATGGATCGACCTGGCAGTAACAGATCTTGGAACAAAGGAATTATTCCTGGGACATGACTGGCTCATATGACACAACCCGCTCATTAATTGGAAGAGCAGGCAGATCACTTTCGCACGATGCCGCTGCCGGAAGATCCCATTCGAATTACCTGATGAAGACCCAGAGGACAGGTGGGATGAAGAGATGGCAGACAGTGAGACCATTCTAGCAGTGGATTTACAAAAAGAGATCCATATTCGAGTGGTGCATCATGCCAATGATCTAGCAGCAAGGGCAAATGAGGGAAGGGCAGAAAGGATGTTTGAAGAAATGGTTCCTGAATGGGCACAGGATTACTGGGACCTCTTCGAGAAAGAAAGTTTCAATGAGCTTCCAAACCCAAAACCCTGGGATCATGCTATTGAACTCATCTCCAATGCCAATGCCAATCTGGACTGTAAAACCTACTCCCTCGGCAATCAGGAGCAGCAGAAACTTGACAAGTTCCTTGATGAGAACTTGTCCAGCAGACAAATTTGACTCTCGAAATCCCCAATGGCATCCCCATTCTTTTTCATAAAAAAGAAAGATAGCAAGCTCTGGCCAGTTCAGGACTACCAAAAATTGAATGAAATGACAATCAAGAACTGGTACCCTTTGCCTCTGATCTCAGAGTTAATGGACAAGCTTTGAGGTGCCAAGTACTATACCAAGCTTGATGTCTGATGGGGGTACAACAACATATGAATCAAAGAAGGGGACGAGTGGAAAGCAGCCTTTCAGACCAACTGAGGGCTGTTCGAGCCCACCATCATGTTTTTTGGGCTGACCAACTCTCCTGCCACATTCCAATGGATGATAAACAACATATTCAAGGAACTCATCACCACTGGAAAAGTTACCATCTATTTGGACAACATCTTAATTATGTCCCAAATGAAACAGAAACATCGAAGCCTGGTGTGACAAGTACTCACCCTGATGAGGAAGCACAAGCTGTTCCTCAAAGCTGAAAAATGCGAGTTTGAGGTATTAGAGATGGAGTGCCTCGGAGTGATCATTAGTGAGGGGAGCATCAGGATGGACCTGGTCAAAGTGGCAGGAGTAACTGAATGGCCAGTCCCTGCTAAGAAAAAGGAGTTACAATCGTTCCTCGGATTTACCAACTTTTACTGATGATTCATTCGAGACTATAGCAAGATCATCCATCCCATGATTCAACTCACTGATAATGCCCCCTGGGGGTGGAGAAGCTCTCAACAACTCACATTTGAAGAACTAAAGCAATGATTGGCCAAAGACATTGTTCTTGCCATACCATCTCAAGGAGGGAAATTCTGAGTAGAAGCAGACTCCAGCGAGGGAGCAATTGGAGCAGTATTATCACAGGAACAGGACCGGAGATGGTGCCCAGTCACGTTCCTCTCAAAAGTGCTGACCATAACAGAGAGAAACTACAAGATCTATGACAAAGAGCTATTGGTGATCATACTTGTCCTGGAAGAGTGGCGGCATTATCTAATCAGAGCCACTGAGACCTTTGAAATCTGGACAGACCACCAGAACCTCAGATACTTCTGACAACCCCAGAAGCTCAACCGACAGCAAGCCCGATGGGTTACAGAACTTGCTCAATACCAGTACACTCTCCATCACAAAGTGGGAATAGCCAACAAAAAGGCTGACCTCCTGTCCTGATGAGCTGATCATGATCAGAGAAGGGATGACAACATGGGAGTCACCATCTTGTGCCCCGAACACTTTCAGACCCTAATCATGCCAACAGAAGAGGAGGTTCATGAAAGGATCAAGAGTGCAACCTGAGACCCTCATAAATGGGATCAAAGGGTCGCTCCCTCTCTCAATCACAAAAGGGGAATGACCAAGAAAGATGGAATGATCCATTATGATGGGAGGATCTACATCCCTAGGGACCAAAACCTACAAGGCAAGATAATCACCAACTGGCACGACTATGCAACTGCAGGACACCCAGGCATTACCAAAACGAAAGAGCTTGTACTGAGAGAGTACTGGTGGTCCAAGATGGGGACTGATATTACCACATATGTTAAGGCATGCAAAACCTGCCAAAGAGAGAAGACCTTGATGCAATCACACATGGCCTCTCTCCATCCAAACAAAATCCTGTCATCCCCCTGGATGCACATTTCTGTTGATATGATCACCGGATTACCTGACTGTAATGGGTATGATGCCATCCTCATCATTGTTGATCGCTTCTCAAAAGCAATCATTCCGATCACATGTTCAACAGAATTGACATCAGAGGGATGGGCAAAAATCCTGCGGGATGAAGTGTATGCCAAGTACGGGATGCTGCAAGTAGTCATCTTGGACAGAAGACCCCAATTTGTTTCCAAATTCCTTGACAATCTCTACAAACTCCTAAACATCAAGCAGAATGTGTCCACTGCCTATCACCCGCTGTTACGATTTTTCCTATTTTTCTTCTATTTTTCTTTTCTTTCCCTCGGAAATGACCCCTATTTTTGCTTAGTCAGAGTGCTTAGGCCAGCGCCTATAACCATGGGAACGCTTAGCTCAGCTACCCAAGATGGTCATTCTCCTGTCGCACTGCTGTGTGCTGTGAAGAGAGAGACAATGTCCTTTTTGTCCTCTAACTGCGGAACAGCATTAACAGCACACAGCAGTACAACAGCTTTTGTGGAGAACCTGGCAACAGTAGGGGGAACAGCTCTACAGCAGAACAATATCTTTTGTGAACAGTTATTTATAACACGACAGCAAAACAGTATTTAAGTAGCTTAGTTCTTGCTGTAACACCCCAGTCTCGAACTAAAGTTTATCTTCACCAAACTACTCTCGAGCTCTTACTACTTGAGCCTTGAATCACTTCCGCTATTAACTTTTGTGAACTCAGTTGGACATACCCAAAGTGCGAGGTACTGAACTGTTTATCACATGTTAATAGTCACATGAGACTTGGGCTTAACACCCGCAAACCGATGGGCAGACAGAACATGCAAACCAGGAAGTCAAAAAATATCTGCACCTCTTCATTAATTATTGCCAAGATGACTGGGTAGAGTGGTTGACACTTGCAGCTTTCCAACATAACAACCGCACCCATTCAGCAACTGGTAAAACTCCCTTCTTTGTTAACTATGGGCAACATCCAAATGTAACCTATTCGACACATCACCAAATGACAACACCCACATCCACAGACTTCACCACAGAAATGACAAAAATCCATTCCAAAACAAAAGCTGCCCTCAAAAAAGCTGCAGCAACAATGAAAACCCATTATGATAAACACCAATGACCATCCCATATATACACAATACACGGCAAAGTCTGGCTTGACACAACAAACCTACACCTTCCATGATCAAAATGAAAATTAGCTGATAAGCGCACTGGCCCCTTCCCCATTATCTCAAAAGTAGGTGAAAGCACCTATAAACTGCACCTCCCGGCTAGCTGGAAGGTCCACAATGTATTCAATGAAAGTATCCTCACACCATACATTGCCCCAGCCTTCCCAAACCAAGAACACCCACCGCCACCACCCCCAGACCTGATCAACAATGAAGAGCACTACAAAATTGACCAAGTCCTAAATCACAAAATCCGGAAAATCAAGGCGAAAGGCAGTGGGATGACCACAACAGTAGATTATCTCATCAGCTGGAAGGGCTATGGCCCTGAATCCAATCAGTGGGTCAATGAGAAATATATGGAAGCTGATGATGCAATACATGACTATGAACTATCTCTAAATTAAGCCATCCGGATGATGGTCTTAAGGAGGGGGTAATGTTATGATTTTTCCTCCTTTTCTATGATTTAACCCCTATTTTATGCTTAGTCAGAAGGCATAAGACTGTGGGAGGTTTAGTCATCACAACTAACTCACCCATCAAGTTGACTTAGACAATGATGCTCGACAACACACAACCATCCTTTTATGTATAACAAAGGAGCTCAAGAACAATGAGCACTATGGACACAGACAAACACAATTAGTAGGAGTATTATTAGCACAACCTGTACAATATTTAAGACTCACAGCTCTCGCTGGTATACCCCAGCTTCAAGCTAAAGTTTATTCATACCATACTTGTTCTCAAGCTCACTTGTCTGTGCCTTGATCACACAAAGCATTGGTATCACTGGACTTGATCGTCATACCTGAACATGAGGTATCAATCATTTATCATGTGTTACTAGTCACATGCAACTTGGGTCTAACAAATGCCCTCTATCAATATCACAGCAACTGATCTAACTGATGATTTCTTTAAGCTATTAGCTTTCATCATAGGAATGCTTTTAAGCCTACTCACTATCATTTCATTTTGCTGTGGATATTAATCAGTTACAGCTTGGATAGTCAGACACTACTATTTCTTTCAACAAATTCAACTGTTATAATTTTTCCTATTTTTTACCTTCCTTCTATGAATTAACCCCTATTTATGCTTAGTCAGAGCATCTAGACCAGTGCTTGAAACCATGAGGAGGCTTAGTCATCACAAAATAAGCCAATCCATTACTGTCCTCTGATGTAGCAACCAGCCTTCAATGATACACAATTGACCTTTTATGTATAGTAGCAATGTCTAAGGACAATAAGCACAAGGACTTGGAGGTATACAATAGGTAGTCTTATATTTATCTTCATCATGTACAGTATATAAAGAGGCTTGCTCTCACTGGGAATCTCCAGCTTCAAGCTAAAGTTTATCTCTACACCATTCTACTCTTGAGCCAGTCTAAAGGCCTTAAAACACATTGATCAACATTTACATCAGTGAACTCTGATGCTCCACTCAAAGTGCAAAGTGATGTCAGTTTATCATGTGTTTACAATCACATGTGACTTAGATCTAACAATTAGC